AACCTGTTTCTCCATCACCTGTTCAGCTCTGATGATTCAGTAAGGACATCTCCTGGTTTCATCTTCATGTTTCCCTCTCACCAGATAACCAAACGATATCATGACCAGCAGCTTTTTTGCAGCTGTGGCTCCAGCCAACACCAGCTGGTAGTAGAAATTAATATTAAATAAATTCTAACAACAGCTGATCAAGCTTAAACGTGCTGCTGTTGTTTAACACGACATCGACTGGTTTCCTCTTTCTGGCGCAAAGTGGGCGATAAACAAACAAGAGAGCCAATCAGCTGATCATTGATCAGTTTCAGGATTGAAGTAGAAACAGAAGAGGGAGGGGGGAGAATGAAAGAAGAAGAGGCAGCTGTGCAGCAAAGACACAGAATAACTCCAGCTTTGTGCCTTTTTCACTGTAGCTGAATTAGGGGACAAACTGTTCCTTTTCACCTCAATAAGAAACGCGTAATATTTTCTCTGAATACCAGACGGGACGGTTGGCAACTCTAATAACTTATGAACAAAATAAAGTTTAACATCATTAACTTCATAGCACCACCCAGCTGTATAGAAACTCCGTCATGCTAGCTAGTACGCAGTACGGAAAAAGTCAGCATAACGAAAATAAACTCCACCTAAACTTGGTTTATATCTGACCCAGAGAGACTGCAGGTCATAACTTCTTACCTGAAGTTCAGTTCACACTTGGACCGGTGGTCGCCTCGGGTCTCTTTTCCTCCTGCGTCCCCTTCCCCTCCTCCACCTGCTGGCCTCCACCACTTGCTAATGTTACTGAATCTGTGAAAGCTCCGCAATAGCCACCACACGAAGTAACGAGTAACGAGCCTATCTAAATCCCAGTAACGACTAACGCGTTCCTGATTTTGGAATAATAACTAGTTACCGTGCTCGTTACCACAATAATAACGTAGTTACTGTAACGCGTTACTGTAACGCGTTACTTAATAACGCGTTAGTCCCAACACTGATCGTGATATATTCTTTTCTTCTTTATAACGTATTTTAAACACTATAAGGCACACTTAAAGTCCTTTAATTCTTTCAAAAATCGACAGTGTGCCTCATGTATGAATTCTGGTTGTGCTTACTGACCTTGAACCGATTTTATGTAGTACACGGCGCGCAGAAATCTGTCAAAAATGTTTTAGTACGACTTTGGTAAGCTATGAAGGCGCACTGCTTGATGGATTGTCGGAGTATTATGGCTGACGTAGTCAGGAGCCTTGTGGAGGAATCTGTGTCCAAAACTCTGTCTTCTTCAGGTCCCAAGTCAAACAAACACTGCGGCATCACTGAGAGTTAAAAACTGTCTAAGTTCTTTCATTTTTAATAAAATGATCAGCGTTGCTGCTTTACCAGGTGTAACAATTAAGTTTAACATCCAGACATCCATGAAAACAGAATTTATTAAATTCAACGGAGTTAGAAGTTAGCAGGAAGTTAGCTCGCTAGTTTCGACCTAAACATGATATGCCATGTTCTAACTGAGAGAATAAAATGTACAACTCTGCTATCACTTCTAACATAAATGAAGAGGGAAAACTAAACAGCAGTGATGTTTGTAGTGTTACTGAAATTGGACTAGCTGGTATATAATGACGTCCTATGTGATTGTTAGCAAAACAGCTACATTAGCATAACATTAGCACAGTGAAGCTGAAGGACGAACGCTAACTTTTTTCCACTCCATAAAAGTTAACGTGAGGGTTTCTGGTGGTTAGGGACAAATGCAATTGCATGGCAGGATGTTGTAAACGGACCAAACTTCAGTCAGGATAATAAGAGCATATAAGAGTGAAACAGATATAAGATCCCTTGAAAAATTATATAATGAAACTTGTATGTTTTGGATACTTACTAAAGCAATGAAAGTAATGAGAAAGTGGCCACTTTCATGAGTAAATCATGTAAGCCTTATATGATTTACTCATGAAAGTTGCCACTTTCATGAGTAATCACATATAAGTTTTTACTATTTCTTTTCCATATGGGCAGCGTAGAGTTTAAACAAGGCATGGTTGGGATCATCGTCAGGGATTTTCTCCTTGTCTTTGTTACAGATCTACAAGAGAGCAGTAGTGTAAAATAGAGACCAAAACTGACACATCAAATTATATGACCACTGTAGGGACTAACGCGTTATTAAGTAACATTACAGTAACTACGTTATTATTGTGGTGATGAGCACGGTAACTAGTTATTATGCCAAAATCAGGAACGCGTTAATCGTTACTGGGATTTAGATAGGATTGTTATTCGTTACTTCATGTGTTGCGTTCGACTTACCTCGGAAATTGAAACACGGGGGTAACATCACCTGGGTCTAGGTGCCGTTTCTGCCTCTGGGGGCGAGGGTACCTGGACCCGGGGTATAGAGTATGTTTGGGGAGTGTGATTGTGTGTGCAATGTCAATTTGTGTCTATCCTTACGTTGGGTGAGTGCTGAGTATTTGTATATGTGTGCATGAGGGTGGGAATGCATGTTTGTGTCTGTGTGTGCCTGTTTGTCTTTGTCTATATGTCAGGTCAGGTCTTAGACTCCACCTCTCTGGGAACTCCCAGGTCCCCCAAAGTATGGAGGCCTATCTCCCCTGACCACACTCCCTGCCGGTGACTGATGCCCTCAGGGGTCGGCGCGTTGGTGGTTCTTGGTGTTCGGGGCTGGGCGCTCAGGTATGTACCAGCTCACTCCCGGTGGCTACTTGGCGGGGCCTGGCGCCTGTTGCTCGGTCAGGCCTCTTCCAGCACGTAGGGGGCCCTACGGTTCACTCTGGTACAGCTGGCTGCCAGCAGAGCCGGCGGGCACGCCAGTGCAGCCCCCTCTGGCTTCTGCTCCGTGGCTGCTGGGTGACCCCTCATCTGGGACTCTTCTCAGCTCTTCCCAGGAGGGTGACACGGATGCCCCTCCGGTGGGCCTCCTTGGGCTCTCGCACTCTGGGGCTTCTGGATGTCTGGAGCCTGGATCTCCTCCATGCCTGCTTCATGCCCTGGGGGACAGGGCTATGGCCCTCTACACCCTCTAGCAGACCGTTACATGGGAAAACCTTTTGAATACAAACGCGCTGATCCACACAGGTGTACACACGGGTGTTCACTGTCCATAGACATAAACTACACCTTTCTTGGCTGCTACCTCAAAACACATTGTGCGCTGTTGGTCCTGCGTGCTGCACAACAATATTCAATATTTAGTATTTTCTGCTGTTTACACTTAGCTAGATTAATGCAATGGTGTTGTGTTTATTATGCTGCTCTCTCTTTTTTTTGCTTGTTTTCTCTTCTTTTTCTCTCAACAGGTGATCCAGGAGATTTTTTTCTTTCTCTTTTTAAGTGCCCTTTCTCACTGTCCCTCTTCCCTTCTGTTTTTCTTTTCCTTCAACTTTCTTTCTCCCTTTCCTATCCCCCAGTCATGTCTGTAACAACTGAAAATAAAATAAAATAAATAATAACAACAGAGGTTGATAAAATGGACCAATACGGCAAGGCCGTGGTGATCCACTTAGTAAAGTAAATCCATTGGGCATCAACAACAACAATTCTGACGGCTAAAGAACCAAATGGGACAGAAAAAAAAAAGGATATATGAGGTGATATAAGGTGATATGAATGGGTTGAAGGGAAGTTAAGAACTGTTAAGAACTGTTTCTAAGAGACAACTTACACCAGGATGCTTTTTTTCATTAAGAGGGAAAAGGGGGAGCAGAAAGAAATACTTTTCTTTCTTATTCTCATGTGTTGTAGATAGTTCAGGAAGTTAAGTCGATGAAGCAGTTTTGGCTAAGTACTGTTTAGAATACCAGAATAGGGAGGGTGGTGTAGGTTTAAATTTATTAGATAGATTCACATATATAAACAAGACAGTGTACATCACTGTCACAACAGTGTATGTTTTCATTCAAAGGCTTTATGGTTTTTCCTATAAGGGCGGGCCGGTCTCTAGTCAAAATGCCCGGACCGATTTTTTTGACCCAGTCCAGCCCTTTATGCAGCTCATCTGCACTCTGGAATTACCCACATCTTCCTACTCAGAAGGCAGAATTTCAGAGTTCCGAGTATAATCGAAAGCACAATGACTGCAGTTTCCTATGGCGTTATTTTTGTGCCACTATTCTGAGCGCACGTAAAAAATATTTTGAGCGCACGTAAAATAAGTTTGCAGGTGCAAGTGTTGCATTTTGAGGAGAAATTTATTTTGAGCGAAGAAAAGTTAAATTTGAATGAACAAAATTCATTGCTGCGTGCAAAAAATGTATTTCAGTGTTTGCTATTATCCATACACACACACAAAAGCAGCCCCTCTCGCTCAGTTTTTGCATTTGCGCTTGCTCGCAATGTGTTGCTTGCGCTCTCAACATTACTGCCCATGTGCGTTCAGCTCTTTCTGTACACCGTTATATTTGTGCCACAAAACCAGCCAATCACAGACTTGGATGCAAAAAAATCTGATTGGCGGTTTTGATCTCCAATCAGCTCAAAATGACGAAATGCAATATCTCAGAATGCATTTCGTCCAAAACTCAAACGAGGCAGTGGCTGAGGAACACAGAGTGGCGGAGTTTGAAATATTACTCTTCATGGGTCACAAAAGCATGTCTTCAGATGGATCTCAACCAGCTCACTTTGAGACACCTGAACAAAGTTCGAAACTGTGAGATAATTGAACTGATCAAGTCAGTTCTTGACAAATTTATTCTCACTTTGTGTTCAGAAAACCAATGATCAACACTGAACAATGTCTAATCCTAACCCTCGGCCTAAACCTACCTATAACCAAATCGTAACCCAAACAATAAAACCCCATTTTGACTCTCAAAAATGCCTTCAAACTTGTGGGGATGGGCATTTTGTCCCCATAAGTAAGTTTTAAGTCTGACATCATTAGCTGTTTCCGGGTCCAAACTTTGCTTCTGGTCCACTCTGCGGCACCACTAGCAGAGATAACACAGCTCATGTCTGGCTAACAAATAGGAAATTACCCTATGGTGTCATTTGTTAAATAAATAATTCATGTATTTTATTATCCTGAGTTAATCATATTAATCCTTCATTATGTGAAGGATTCTTTACATGATATTATTCATCAGTCTTGGTGTAGACAGCGAGAGCGAAATCTGCAGTGATGTTGGGTTCTTTGGTGGATGGGATGATCACATACTCTCCAGGTTCCAGACTGTGGAGTTCAATGTGATCTCGCTCAGACCTGTAAGTCTTTTCTGCCTTCACAGGCCTGTTCCTCTGAAAGAAATCCTGTTGCAGGCGTCGTTTTGGAGTCTGGCAGAAATATAAAGGAATATCTATAGTGAAAAACTCTCCTGAGTCTCAGTGTACATTGTTATTAAAGTTATTAAAATGCTGAATTTACTTTTGGTGCACAGACAGTTTCATATATTTGTTATTGTTTGCACTTACCCCTGATGGAATCTGTTAATTGGAAAATGGTAAGAATAACTTCATTAAACTGTTTCACAGGAACCATTTTCCATAGTAACTTTAATGAATGTGAAATCAGCGAAGACATTTTTTCATTATTATTGTCTTACTAACTCAGCTGCTCAATTAGGTAAGTACTCATGTCTTCATAACAGGGTGATACAATTATTTTAAAGATTTGGTTTCTTGTCCTTCAGTATTCAGTTGCAGTATTTAACAATTATTTAAATTAAAGGAAGCACATTGAGAATGAATACCTTATAGATGGTAAGTCTAGTTCGGTGGAGGCGTATCTCATTGCGATTTCCCTGCTGAGGTTTCTGCATCAGGGAGAGCACGATGTTTTTGTCTCCCGGCTCCTTCTTGTCTATAACAGTCACTTGAATGCGATACTGAGGGTTTGTTGCAAAGGTGGCTACAGAGAGTGAGGAAACATTCATCTTGTTAATTACATTTTAGAAATTTATGGTGGGTTTTGTGTTTGCACAGATAAAATAAATATGTAAAAACTATATTATTATTTTAGTGATAGTTAAAGTTTAGATAGGAGTGAACTTGTCTTACAGTGTTTCACATTGCCACCTGCAGATGTCCCTGCTACCCAGCTCCCATCGTAAATCATGCAATTCCACTGACATTTTAAGTCTCCATCAAGAAAGTTAGGGGTCTCACAGCAGATGGATACGTAAGCAAAATAGGAACAGAAGTCCTCCATTTGCATCCTGGCAGACAGATGAGCAGATAGAGATTTAAAATATATATATATATACATAAAATATCAACCAATAAATAATAAGATGTAAACTCTTTGGTAATGCATCAAAATGATCATATGATTTTTTTTTTTGAGTTTTTAAAAGCTTTTTTAAAATATTGAGAGTAATCAGTGTGCAAAATTTAGAATTTACCAGAACTCTCCGTCGTCATGGTTGAAACACTTTTTTTTAACTTCTGGACTTACTTTGTCCCACAAATCTGACCTGAGAACACGAAACAAATAAGTTAATGACAGACTTTAATGCTGCAAAACAGATATATTTTATATACTATATATATATATATACTACACATACAGCATTTCTGTTCTTGAGGTCGATAGATATTTTGCACTGTGCTGAAAACTCCCCTTCAATATGTGAGAGTGTTTGTCACTGTTTTTAATTTGGCTGGAAGTTCATAAGTTGTTCTTCTTTATATTAGAAAGCATCCTGTGATCATCCACCGCTATTGTTCTCTGTGGATGTCTGGCCATTTTCATTTTGCACAGCATACCTATGTTTTCTCTCTCTCTCTTTTGTTGACCACTTATTGTTCCAGCTATACTGTTTATCTTATGTTTAGAAATTCTTGAACTGCCTGTTGTAGGTTTGCATACACAGCTTCTGATTAAATTATAATTACTATTTTTTTTTCAGTTTTATGTCTGTCTATTTATCATAACACTGTGAGTTGATTATGTGTAGGTGCAACGCTAGTACAAATTGTGTCATTGTCAGCGATATATGGACGTTGTTTGTTGTTTAATTAAGTCAAGTACTTGTCGCTCCATTTTCCGTTCCACTCCTGTTGGCCCCATGGGTTCATGACTCGCACCAGTCGTACTTTGGAGCCGTTTAATTCCACCTTCAGATGAAATAATGAAGTGAAGACATCAGGTATTGGAAATGCTTCAGTAATGGTATCACATTATCACATTCATTGATACTATCACAATTTTTGCAATTAAGTTTTCTTGGCTCTTGTTTTCACTCTTTTCCTATGCTGAATGTAAATTTCTAGCTTCATGGTTTACCTCAGTGACACCTGTGATGGAATAGGCATGGCCATTCACCAATCCAGTGTCAGCCGAAGGACCCTGAAAAAGACAGAACAAGGTTTGTTTTTTTTTAATCTATTGTTATTGATTTTTGTTGGGGGTTTTTTGTTTGTCTGTTTTTTACCTCTTCGTAGGAAGTCCAACAACAAATCAGTGATTGGCACCTAGTTGCTCTGTTTAATGTGAGCCAAAGATCACCATGGCCAGCTGAGTTCATCTCCTTCAGTTTGTAAGTCTGGTTTACACCTCCAGTGAAATCTTTGCAGGCCTCTGATGGAAACCCAGCATGCATGTCTGCATACGAGCCACAAAGTCTGAAGGAGGCACCCAGAAGGAGAAACATTTTTAAATCAATGACATTCATATCAGAAATGTGACCTTCTAAACTGATTTACATGAAAGTGTGAGAGATGATTATTTACTTGGCATATGCCTTCTCCAGCAGAGGAGCCCAGAACTCATTTCCACATTTCGAGGACACAAACAGTAACCGCTTTTTGATCGTTGGCAGATTGTCATCAATGACAACATCTACCCACTTTCCAAACCTCCAGAACTGCAGAGAGGACAGCTAAGAATCAATCAGAGGTGGCAAAAGTACCGAGATTCTGTACTTTGATCTAGATTAGATTTCTGTACTAGGAGTAAAGATACTAGTGTTAAAAAATACTCCAGTAAAGGTTGATGTACTGACTCCACTTCTTCACTTTCTTTTTAAAAGTAATAAAGTACAGGCTCTGAAATGTACCCAAAGTAAGAAAGTAAAATGTAGCTCTTTGGAGGACATTTCTAGGATAAGCTGAACATCAGCAGAGAAACAGAAGGAAAATACAAACACCTACATTTTTTGTTGCCTAGATTGTAGGCGTGACTTTGCCTCTAAACAGAAAATAAGTCGGCAAGAGGTTAAAGTGAGATTCAGCATGTAGGGCAGGGGTGGGCAACTCCCGGCCTCAAGGGCCGGTGTCCCTGCAGGTTTTAGATGAATCCTTGAACCAACACAGCTGATTTAAATGGCTAAATTAGCTCCTGCAGTTCTCCAGAGGCCTGGTAACGAACTAATCATGTGATTCAGGTGTGTTGACCCACCTGCAGATCTAAAACCTGCAGGACACCGGCCCTTAGGGCCTGGAATTGCCCACCCCTGATGTAGGGCCTAAAATCAGTTTTAATGGCTCAGAGTGGAGAAAAGAATCACAACTCACAATAATTTCTATTAAGAGCTCCATTCAGTGATAGTTCAGGCTGTGGTGATTTGATCATCATCCATCCATGACAGTAAAGCAAACTAACCTGTTTATCCTGCACTGACCTGCAAAGTTTTTTCAAGCCACCTTTGAATAACACAGCAAATCTGCCTCAGCTTGTTTTTCAGCAGGTTTCACAGCATAAAAAAACACTGTTCCCCTTGTACTGGGGAAAGGGATTATCTTTCATGTGTTACTGTTTAAGCTCAAATCAGTTTGATGTTTGAATGGTAAATGGCCTTTATTTGTATAGCGCTTTACTAGTCTCTAAGGACTCCAAAGTGCTTTACACATTCAGTCATCCACCCATTCACACACAGGTGATGGCAAGCTACATTGTAGCCACAGCTGCCCTGGGCGCACTGACAGAGGCGAGGCTGCCGGACACTGGCGCCACCAGGCCCTCTGACCACCACCAGTAGGCAACGGGTGAAGTCTCTTGCCCAAGGACACAATGACCAAGACTGTCGGAGCCGGGGCTCGAACTGGCAACCTTCCACTTATAAGATGAACGGCCAACTCTTGAGCCACAATCACCAAGACTTGCAGTGACGTGAAACAATTACTCACCTCAAATATGTTAAAACAAAAGTAGCGAGGCTGTTTGGAAACTGTATGGAGTAGAAAGTATAGATATTTGTTTAAAATGTAGGGAGTAAAAGTAAAAAGTTGTCAGAAAAAGAAATACTCAAGTAAAGTACTGATACCTAAAAATTCTAAGTACAGTAATAAAGTATTTGTACTTCGTTACTCACCACCTCTGAAATAATTAACCACAATGTGTTGTGTTTCTGTTTTGTGACAGTATTCTTTAGACACATTTATTAATCCTTTGTTACCCTGAAGTGAAATATTCCTGCATAGTTCTCAAAGGACTGGTCCATTGGCACAACTTGTGCCATCAGATTTTCTTGGAAGGTCAGCGCAGATATTGCAGACAAAAACCAGCAGTTACCTGTTAAAAGGAGGAAACTAATAGTTCTCCCAAGATGTGGAACATACTTGTCATTGTCATTAGCTATAGGCAAGAAAGTTTTGCTTACCCACGTCGCCTTGTCCAAAGTCAAATCGTGACATACCATCTTTACTGAAAGCAGGCTGATCCTTCTTTCCTTGTTTTCTCAATAAATTCTTGAAAAGACAGTGGAGAAAAATATGCTGACAATCATGTAAAAAGAATCTGTTTTCCTACTGTACAGAAACGCTAACTAACAATCCATCAGATTTCGAAGTGAAAGAAAAATAAATATAATTAAAATGATTTTACTGCTGGTCGAAGCCATTTCACTTCACTCTCCTGTGAGGAACTCATATCAGGCAGGTCACCCAAAGAAAGACCGTTTGGTGGGAACTCATTGTCCACAAACAGTTCTCCTTTGTGGAGGCAGTCAGCTTTTATCTGAGCGAAGTCCTGATTTTTGAACTTGGCAGGGTTGGAGGGGCTTCCCTCGCTGCCATCCTGGTAATGCAAGTTGACGAGACAAGTTTCAGATTTAGCCATGATGATGATCAAAGTCTTCCGACAGATTCTGGTGCAAGGAAAATAATAATAATTCAGAGACACCTAACTCCGTGTGAGAGCTATCATTGAAAGGAACAGAGATTATTACCTGTGCACGGTGACAACCAACTGATCCCTCCTTGAAATTGCAAGATGTGACATGTGCAGCACACACCCTCTTTTATATATTGACAATGTAATACATAAGACTGGAGTCCCAACCCTAAACATGTAGATTGGATATAATGTAAAAAAAAAAAAAAGATAGAAAGGCCTCACTCTGAGCCTGCTGTTTTGTCAGATTTGATGAATTTCCACAAATCTATGTGGCAGACATGTTAAAGACCAGTTAGCTGATGCCCTTGGCCCTCTCGCTAGCCATCTCTCGCCCACTGTAAGAAACCTCGGAGTGTTCCTGGATGGCTCTTTTAAACTTGAGAAACAGGTGTCCACTGTGGTAAAAAACAGCTTTTACCAGTTGCGTCAGATTTCCAAAGCAAAGCCATTGGACTACAGGGAGTGCAGAATTATTAGGCAAGTTGTATTTTTGAGGAATAACTTTATTATTGAACAACAACCATGTTCTCAATGAACCCCAAAAAACTCATTAATATCAAAGCTGAATGTTTTTGGAAGTAGTTTTTAGTTTGTTTTTAGTTTTAGCTATGTTAGGGGGATATCTGTGTGTGCAGGTGACTATTACTGTGCATAATTATTAGGCAACTTAACAAAAAACAAATATATACCCATTTCAATTATTTATTTTTACCAGTGAAACCAATATAACATGTCCACATTCACAAATATACATTTCTGACATTCAAAAACAAAACAAAAACAAATCAGCGACCAATATAGCCACCTTTCTTTGCAAGGACACTCAAAAGCCTGCCATCCATGGATTCTGTCAGTGTTTTGATCTGTTCACCATCAACATTGCGTGCAGCAGCAACCACAGCCTCCCAGACACTGTTCAGAGAGGTGTACTGCTTTCCCTCCTTGTAAATCTCACATTTGATGATGGACCACAGGTTCTCAATGGGGTTCAGATCAGGTGAACAAGGAGGCCATGTCATTAGTTTTTCTTCTTTTATACCCTTTCTTGCCAGCCACGCTGTGGAGTACTTGGACGCGTGTGATGGAGCATTGTCCTGCATGAAAATCATGTTTTTCTTGAAGGATGCAGACTTCTTCCTGTACCACTGCTTGAAGAAGGTGTCTTCCAGAAACTGGCAGTAGGACTGGGAGTTGAGCTTGACTCCATCCTCAACCCGAAAAGGCCCCACAAGCTCATCTTTGATGATACCAGCCCAAACCAGTACTCCACCTCCACCTTGCTGGCGTCTGAGTCGGACTGGAGCTCTCTGCCCTTTACCAATCCAGCCACGGGCCCATCCATCTGGCCCATCAAGACTCACTCTCATTTCATCAGTCCATAAAACCTTAGAAAAACCAGTCTTGAGATATTTCTTGGCCCAGTCTTGACGTTTCAGCTTGTGTGTCTTGTTCAGTGGTGGTCGTCTTTCAGCCTTTCTTACCTTGGCCATGTCTCTGAGTATTGCACACCTTGTGCTTTTGGGCACTCCAGTGATGTTGCAGCTCTGAAATATGGCCAAACTGGTGGCAAGTGGCATCTTGGCAGCTGCACGCTTGACTTTTCTCAGTTCATGGGCAGTTATTTTGCGCCTTGGTTTTTCCACACGCTTCTTGCGACCCTGTTGACTATTTTGAATGAAACGCTTGATTGTTCGATGATCACGCTTCAGAAGCTTTGCAATTTTGAGACTGCTGCATCCCTCTGCAAGATATCTCACTATTTTTGACTTTTCTGTGCCTGTCAAGTCCTTCTTTTGACCCATTTTGCCAAAGGAAAGGACGTTGCCTAATAATTATGCACACCTGATATAGGGTGTTGATGTTATTAGACCACACCCCTTCTCATTACAGAGATGCACATCACCTAATATGCTTAATTGGTAGTAGGCTTTCAAGCCTATACAGCTTGGAGTAAGACAACATGCATGAAGAGGATGATGTGGACAAAATACTCTTTTGCCTAATAATTCTGCACTCCCTGTATAGTAACTCCCTCTACTCGGGCCTCCAACACTCTTCTCTTTGCCGGCTTCAGTTAATTCAAAATGCAGCTGCGCGTCTTTTAACAGGTACGAGAATCCATGAACACATAACTCCAATTTTAGCCAAATTACATTGGCTCCCTGTTAAATATCGCATAGATTTTAAAATTATTTTGTTCACTTTTAATATTCTGAATAATTTAGCGCCCACCTATCTCTCTGAACTACTCCACTTATACAATCCCAACAGAGCACTTAGATCGTCCAACCACAGGCTCCTAGCACAACCTAGGTCTCGAATGAAGTCGAGAGGTGACCGGGCCTTTGCATCCGTGGCACCCAGACTCTGGAATAACCTCCCTGTCCATATTCGTACTGCCGAGTCTATCCAGTCTTTTAAATCACATCTTAAAACTTATTTTTTTACTTTGGCTTTTGAGTCTGTCTAGTTGGCTGGTCTAGCTTGTTGTGTTGTTACCTATTGTTTGCTGTCCTCTTTTATTGTTTTTTTTTATTGTATCATGCTTTTACTGACTGTGAAGCACTATGGTCAACACTGTTGTTTTAATATGTGCTATATAAATAAATTTTGATTTGATTTGATTTAAAGAATATACATGATCACTTGCTTTTATCTCACCCTGTTCCTGAGCATACTCCTCTGTCATACTAATGCTCTGCATGGTCTATCCCTGTGGTGTTCCCGTTTCCTTTTGTGTCATAGCTCCTTATTCAACAAACTTAGACAATGTTTCCACTATTCCTCCTAAACTTCTGAGTTTTTCTCCAACTATTAAACAAGGTATTTAATTTATATACCGGTAGATAAATTAAATACCTTGTTTAATAGTTGATTCGACATAGTGAAGGCCTTCACTATGTTGAATCATGTTTCTGCAGCAGAGGCAATAAGATACACGTGCATTGCCTCTTTTTATTTACACCATCAGACAATATTGGTGACTTTTGTTCAACGCTCATCTGAAAAGAATGTGAGGTGTAGTGATGGGTCCAGCAACACTAACGCACAGGCGCATATATCAAGCTCACAGAGTGAAACCTGTATCGGTGCGTGTGTCGCTTTAAGAAAAAGTCACGTGATCGATACAGCTGCTGTATCGCTCATTTCCAACGCGCCAAACTGTGTTTAAAAGGTACCGAATCCGCATCCGCCAACGGAATGAGTCACCAAAACAACAACACGAAATTACTCTCGCAAAGATTAAAAAAAAAACAACAACAAACAAATAAAAAAAAATTACACATCTCTCCATAACAAAATGGAGCCCGAAAGAAAAAGAAATGTTTCTGCTGTGTGGGATCATTTTGATCTTTTAACTGCAAATAGTTTGTCTGTCTTTGTTTCAGTGTAATCCATCAGCGATGAGACTTGCAGTGTAAATTATTTATTTCATTTTATGCAGGTTAAATGTCGTATCTGTTCTGCATTTCTTACACAAACATAAACACCTCAGTGTTTAGGCATTACAGAGCCAAACATGAAAATGAGGAGACAAACACACCGAGAATGAACACAGGTAAACCTATATAGACACTGAACAGCTTTATCATCTTTTTTTTTTTTGTATTAATGTGTGTTATTATTTTGAAAACAAGCATCTAGGAAGACCGTTCTGGATCAGGCAGTCCTGAATTGTATTATAGAGGACTGCCAACCTCTTAGTATTGAGGAGAGTGTCAAAGAGAAACATTCCAAGATCAGAGGATCCTTTAACGTACTGGGGGAATAGGATGACCTTTTCCACCTGGCTTTACATTTTTTGTGTACCCCAGCTTCATCTATGCCTGTCAGTTTTCCAAAACTGGGGAAATGGTGTCAACCCCCCCCCCCCCAAAAAAAAAAAACACGCAATAAACTGAATGCAAAAACTTATTTTTTTGAATAGAAATTTATAACAAACTCTGAGTCAATTACATTTAAATGGGTGATATTCAGAATACTTTGTTTAATTTTCACTTAATGTCATTCACAATATATTTTAAAGATGTCTACAATATGTAAAAGATATAAAATGATTCCATAGAAAGTACAATACCTTACAGTGTATACAAGAATGACTAGGTCATTAAATCAGTGTCTGTTGTGTCAAGTAAGTTGCCTGCAATGATATTTAAGGTCCAGCAGGTGTCAGTATGGAGCAAAACAGCAACACTGCTAGTTTGAGGAATGTGCTGAAACGCTTTATGAAGCCTCATCTACCCATTACTAGTGAGGTGATTACAGCCTTAAGAAACATGCTCCGTTTGCCATTTGTCCCTATATTTACAGCCAACTATATAAAATGCTTTGCTCTGCCAGCTGCAGAGAGCGCAACTGTTAAACAATTCTAAGATAAAATCACGAGCTCACTCAGTCATTAAGTAGTGGAAGGAGAGTACACACAACGTAAAGTATTCACCAGTCCAAACTTGTTAAAGACATTTTCCTGAAACAGACGCATTTGAGCTTTAGACTTCAATTTAAGTTGATTAAACTTTATTGCCAGGGCTGACTTGGAGTTGCTCATCAGATTCCAATGAAGAGCCAGGAACAGAGCTACCAATTCTGATTGTTGAAACATGTTCTGAAAAGTCAGTGACTTTACACCTAAGCTAGCTAAATTGCCATTTTTTGAATGACTTGAGTTCTGAAAGGTGCTATACAATAAAAATAAATCTAATAGAAGCATGATAAACACTCACCAGCCACTTCATTATTTACAGCAGCCAGACTGCTTTACAACTCAGTAAATGTATGTAGATTTAGTTCAAACCTGACAGTGATTTTCCAGAGTAACAGGGTTGCTGATGGCAGGTTCTCATTTCAAGCTGCTGTGATGCAATCAGACCCAAATCTGATGTTCCATATATTTTGTCAAGTCCGTTGTTCATTTCAGAGCAGAACTCTTTGCAGTAAATTTTGAGTAAAACTACAGTCACCTGATGTGGTTCAAGTCCAAGTCAGATAATATTGAAAGCCAAGCCATTAAAACACTGAGACTAAAAAGTCTGTATTTTACTGAGGGCCAACCAGGTGTTGATAATTCAAGCGTATCGGTTTAACACAATGAGAACACTGGTTTCATGTCAATAGTTTATTCAAATTACAGCAACATCAGCTCTTAAACATCAAGCAATAAATGCTTTCCATCTTCACATAAAGATCCAGTCCAAGTCCTCTTTTCACCTGAGAGAAAGGAAATAGACTGAACGATGTGCAAAATAAAAAGCCAACACAGATTATAGTGAAAATAGGCTAACAATTCCAAAAAGTTTCTTTATTGCATCATGTTATTTTTCAAACTTCATCACTGCATTTCTCCAGCAGAGGTCACACTAAACAGACCACATTATTGCTAAAAGACAATTATAGGACTTAAGACATCTGACCCTTTAATCAATAACTCAACATGCATGTATCTTACCGAGCTCTGGATTCATGTATACTGAAGCAGAGTCTCTGCAGCCACTGAATCAAGTTCTGAGACATAAATAAGAGGAAGTTAATGTCAAGAAGCTTTCGTCTAACAGCAGAATGTAACGCTTCCAACTTTCTGTTCAGAAAACCAACAATCACCACTGAACAATCTGACGGTAATTCCAGCTTTTCAGTTTAGGTTTCATCACCACAATTAATGATAAGTACTTGTCATATAGAGGAAAAATGTTACCTGATAAATTCACTGGACAGTGAACTAAGTCATCATTTGACAGACCTGATAATAAAAAAGGGAGACATCAGAATATGCAGCACACTTTGATAAGCATCAATTTCTTTAATTTGAAGAGACTCAGAAAGGTGGATTAGAGACAATCGTCAGTTGTCGCATCTGACGGCACTTCCTATTCCAGGTTTTCATCATTGATACAGCCACTCAGGGCTCATAGGACTCTTAGGAAATGCATTTCCAATTAACTCTCCTTCGCACAACAAAGCACACTGAAGTATCACACAATGATGAATAGCATTGGATTCAATTTTAAACAGATTTTATTTCATTGGACAAAATGTGGAAAGCTTTTTAGGATCAGACACAATTATACAAACAAATCCCAGCAGGATTTCAAATGATGTCAATTCCATGTGGTGCACAGTGAGTACTTTAAAAATCAGTCCTTGTTGTACAAAGGTGAGCTTATCTTTAAATACAGTCAGGTTTGTTATAAGTGTACTTACGAAGACTGGCTAGGCATGTCTTCAGATGAATCTCAACCAGCTCACTTAGAGACATCTGAAACAAAGTTCAAAATGGTGAGCCACTTGAACTGATCAAGTCAATTCTAGACAAATTTATTCTCACTTTGTGTTCAGAAAACCAATGATCACCACTGAACAATCTGCCGGTAATTCCAGCTGTTATCAGTTTAAATTTCATCACAACAGAAGCAGCCAGTTTTTCTTGCTTATGGGCAGGAATGGAAATTTACCTGTGTGTAACAAATCCACATCTGTCCACTAGTTCAGCTGGGAGTGCACGCACCATGCAGACAAACATCCTTCACGGATGCTCAAGTTCTCTTCCTTTACCCGGAGGAGGAAACCGTGAGCGTGTGAGTTCATTTGTTTTGACATGCATCAGAACTACATGGGTTCAGAACTATTAAGCCAACCTATGATCCTGGTTTGTCATCCTCTTGATCTGGCATCTTCCGAGTAGCCTGAAGAGCAAACAGAAGTTAACTCATGTGAACAGACTTATTACCACAGAGCTATTTTGAGACTGAGGCTCAGAACAGTGAGTGAGAAACATCGTCAGTTATCGCATCAGACGGCACTTCCTATTCACAGTTTTCATCACGGTTACAGATGTATCAGACAAAGAGCTGGGTCCACTTTATGGTCACTCACCTTCCAAGGACACAAGGAGACCACAGGATGACTTGAACAGAACAATTTTTGTACTCATACTGTGACCCAAAAGCGCTAGGTCCACCTGAGAGTGAGAGGAAAATAATAATTATTATTTTTTAAAATCCTTCTATGGTGTTCATATTGTTACTCAGCCATTTGACAGCTTTCTGAGAATTCAAAATTCACTATTTGATGTTCTTCACACAAAGATAAAGAGAATGAATGGGTTTGAAATAATTTGCATAACCACATTTTATCAGTAGCATAAGTGCGTCAGACTTTCAGAAATATGATTTTCCAGACTCATGGCAGACATGAGACATCGAGGAGGCATTCAATGCTTGCATTAAGATATGCACAAAGCAAAAAGCACAGGACCAGCAGTCCTCCCCACGTGGCTACAACATCACAACTAAGAACAATGCTAACCTTCAACTTTAACGAACTGAAATCACGACTTAAACACGCTTACAAACTAACCTTTAACGCAGGGCCTTCCATCAAAAACCACGGCAGCCTTCTCACGTATCAATGCACTTCGCAAGTTCAGCGAAACTAGCGACAATGAACCACACCGGACGAGAAGAGACCAAAAGGGCGAACAATGTGCGTTTGCGCGTTTTTATACTGCGGCTGTCGCGGAAATAAAACGTCAGTGCTACTTCGGCTTTCTTCGCATTTTGTCGGCGAAAACCGTCACTCACTTGCTCCAACGCCTCGCTAGCTTTGATAATCCTTTTCTTTTCTTTTCTTTTTTTTAAATAACACTTTAATTGTGGTGATAGATACTTTTTTAAATGCGTGTATTTTAACCATTTGAACATTTTTGTTTTATTTATAACAACGTGCCGGATTTTTTGTTAGCATTTTAGCATCTAATTACCAGCTAAGAGCTGTATTATAGTGGTCATCACCTACTTTTGTGTGTTATTTATTTGTTTATGTGCTCAAGCTAGTAATTTATGTTTGTCCACTTAACTGTGAATTTTATTTTTTTTCTCCCGTTAACAAATGCAGCTATTTCTTAATATAAAATGTGACCTGTGACCGCACATTGTCGCTGTTTGACAGCTAACTCTGTGTCTCGTCGCTCATTTCAGAGTATGTGGGTCTTCTCTCTGAGGCTGTGGGACCGTCATTTTGTTCTGAATTTGTTTCCTCTGCGGACTTTGGATAACACATCACATCTTCTGAGTGCTTCAGGTAAAGATTTTTACAACTTGCATAATCCTTGACCAGCAAACAGGCCCGTAAGGAATGTTAGTTTGGGGTCTGCAGTGCTGCCATGAGAAGTAGTAGTAATGACAGTAGTAACTTTGTTCAGGTGACTGTCTACGTTTCTACAACATTTGGTGAAAATCCATTAAGATTTCTTTGTTAAAAAGAAAAACTTTATTTGTTTGTGTATTTCTGCATTACTGTCCATTGACTACTAAAAATAGAATTTAAATTTTAAATTCTGACAAGCTTAGAAGGCATTGTGCTGCGTGGATTCTGTAGTTCTGTGGGTGATTTATGAGAAAGGGATAAATACAAGAAGTGCGTCCTCTTGCAGTGAATGAAACGTGTGCTTGTAGTGGTGATAGCGGCTTCTTGAAGGAGGTGTGTGTTCATGCGTGTGTGTGCATCGATCAGCTGCATCAGCATGTTGCCACCTGTGAAGAAGGACCGGGTTATTACTCAGCTCCCAAAGGTTAGTCAACACACACACACACACACACACACACACACACACACACACACACACACATACATACATACATACATACATACATACATACATACATACATACATACATACATACATATATATATATATATATATATATATATATATATATATATATATATATATATATATATATATACATACATATATATATATACGCACGCGCACACACACAAACCCCATGATTGTAGTTGAATCTCCTACCCTTACCTTATCGCAAACCTGACCCTAGTCTTAATCCTCAATAAAGGTACTCCACAATGACTTCTGTGTTTATCCCCATGGTAACAAAAATCTCCATGGATACAAAAAGACACAGGCTGTTAACCTTGCTGCCATCTGGCAAGTGATAAAAAAAGTATCTCCAGCCGTGCAGCCTAACCTCAGAGCATGAAGAGACGGAATCTCCAGTTTTACATCATGACTGAAATGAATGTTGAGTCTTTATTCCTGAATGGGTCAGTTTATCCAAGCATGATAAAACATGGACATGTTTTTTTATAGTGTTTTAGTGCAAATGCAGCGCTGCACACCAAAGAAGGCTTCCACCCGCACGTGAAGGCTGCATGCCAGGTCCAGAAAGCAGACACAGTGAGGTAAGGTCACATAAGGATTAATAAACACTCTCTGCCTCCCATCATGCTACTACACACATCTCTACACTGTGGGTTTAAATTATATTAATGAGTTTCTGATTAATTTGGTCTTCTAAATCACATTAGACTGACTGTGTCAGCTGACGCTCCTGCCACATCTGACCACTTTCTGTTGGTGGTGTTTTTAAAGAAAAGGCTAATGGCATTTATTTTTACAAACCACTTTTTTTTAAAAAGGTCAAAACCATTGACTTTGCTTAGATGTTTACTCCTCGTAAAGAAGTAAATCTGAACAAACTAGTCTCACGTAAATACAGTAAGGTTTATGTAGGATAGGTACATTTTAGCCTCTCTTTACCATCCCAGTGTGTGAAAAGGGGGGGTGGGGGTGGGGCTATGAATAAAAATAGCTGTAATTCCTGCATTACTGAGGCAGTGATGCAGAACTCCTTAAATTAAGTCTTCACTTCACTTTACTAAATTCCCAGTGCTTCCAACATATCAAGTATTTATGTAATTAAATGTTTGAGTGATTTCTCCATGCTGTGGAATACCCTGCTGTGTATTTTCATGATTTTGAGTGAATGCTGACAGTTGTGGATTTCTGTTCTCAGCTTTAATGTTGCTAAGGTCATCGTCGTGGGTGATGTTGCAGTTGGCAAAACGTGTCTGATCAGCAGGTAAGAAGCTTTTATATAGCTACAGCTCTATATGTTATATAGCTTGATATATAGAGACATGATGAACATGACCTCCTGAAATTAAAACTGAATGTCACAATGGGGGAAGAAATGTGATTTAAGTGAACATGAATAGTTTTTGGTGTCAGACTGGCTGTTCTGAGTATTTCAGAAAATGCTGATCTACAGTTTACAGAGAATGGTCAGAAAAAGAATCTAGAGAATATCCAGTGAGCAGTAATTCTCTGTGGAAGAAACACCTTGCTGATTTCAGAGTTTAAAGGAGAACGGCCAGACCGCTGTTAGAAAGACAAAAACAAGTCAAGCATCCACTGGTATGCAGAAGACCATCACTGAGTGCACAGCATGTTGAACCTTAAAGCAGATGAGCTGCAGCAGCAGAAGACCACACCAGGTGTCACTCCTGTCATCCAAGCAGGAGACTGAGATTTACAATTCACAGAACCTGAAAAAATGTTTCCTGGTTTGATGATTCTCAATTTGTGCTGAAACATTCAGAGGTAGGGTCAGAATTTAGGGTAAATAGCATGACAACATTGATCCCACCTGCTTTGTGTCACTGGTGTAATGGTGTGGGGCGTGAATTTACCTAACACTTTTTGTTCACCTAAATTACACCTAAAGCATAACATACTAAGGCAGAAACTTTCAATCACACCTAAAGACACTGAGCATGTGCACAGAGCTGAGGCTCATTTGTTTTTCTCATCCTCATTTCTAGGGATGGGTATCGTTTAGGTTTTATCTGATACCAGTGCCAAACCGGTACTTTTGAAACGGTGCCGGTGCTTAAACGGTGCTCGAACCGGTGCTTAAAGAATCAAGAACACAAACTTTGTCCAAAAACCTCTCATGTTCAGCTATTTTTTATAAAAAGGGTTATCCCCTGCAGCTATAGGGCATATATGGTATCACTCTTGACTGGAAGCAGTGGAAAAAACACAAACTTTGTCCAAAAACCTCTCATGTTTAACTGTTTTCCACTTTTTCTTTGGTCTTTTTAGCCTTTTTGTCCAGGGTGAAGGGAGTATCTGCCATCAAACAAGAAGACAGTCGCATGTAGCTATGATGATGTTTGCTAGTTCACCTTACATGCATTAATGTAATAACGTGGTTAGCCTACTCAACGTAAATTACACACGAACAACATTAAGCTACTCACGCAGAGAAGAACGGCTGCTGCTGCATCATCATCCGTCATCATTTCTGCTACACTGGCAGGGCTAGGGGCCAGGACTCTCCTCTTCGTCTTTTTGGGGGATGTTGCTAACTCCGGGTCTGATAACTGGCAACCCACCCGCAGTAGATGTGCTCGGTGTGAGGTCTCGCAGCAAGCTATCAAATATGGCGCATTTCTCGGCTTTTAAAAAAACGCTATGCATCGCCAGGTGTTTCATCAGATTCGAGGTGTTTCCTCCTTTTCACAGTATCACCTTAAAGCACTTGTTGCAGGCTGCTGAGTTTGCATATTTTACTCTGAAGTACAGCCAGACTTTGACCGCTTCGCTTTGGGCATTTTTAATCTGTAGCTCTGCTCTAAAAGAACGTACGTACCTGGGCCCGCCTACTACGCTCGCAAAGGTGAAATGATTGGCTAGAATCCAAAGTGTATGACATCTTAGGAAAACAAAAGCACCGAAATGAAGCACCGAAATGTGCGCTGCGTTTCGGTCTGGTTACTACCGTTTATGTCAGAACCGATACCCATCCCTACTCATTACAGGTTAATAGTTTCAGCAGAAACCATGCCACTCAGGATGAAGACTTTTATGATACCACAAATGTCATTTACATTTAATTACTAATGAATATTTGGAATATTTTGTATTTCAGTAGTAGGATGGAATCAGTTTACTGTATTGTTTGGTAAAAATGCTTAAGAAATGAAGAATTTTATTCAACAAATGTTAAAAAGATTTTCGTTTTACCTTTCTTAGTCTGCCAGCTGTCCCCTGTTGCTCTCAGGTTCTGTAAGGGTGCGTTTGAGAAGAACTACAAAGCGACTATAGGGGTGGATTTTGAGATGGAGCGCTTTGAGGTGCTTGGTGTTCCCTTCAGTTTACAGCTGTAAGTGTACTTCTTAACCAGAGAGAAACATCCAGTTCGTAGACTGAGCCCTAGGGTCATATGAGTAATCTCCACGAAGAAGTTCAAATATGAGCAGTCTGTGTGTAATGAGATCACATAAATAGATAATTGTGGGGCTGTGCAGCATCCGCCTGATAATTTCACGATCTGGTTGTTCAGGCTGCTCAGTGCGACTTAAATGACATGCCTTGAATTCACTATGTCACCTTCAGATGTGCGTGTACCTGCTGTGAGTGCACATGTAGAATCAGTGTAATATTAAGGTAATCATTTTGGCATCTAGTCAACATTAGGACTCTAGTTCACTTTTAATCCCACTGTTTCTTTCACATTCACCAAATATTCCAAAGACGACCATTAAAGCTCTCGTGTGATCTGTTTTAGGTGGGATACAGCAGGTCAGGAGCGCTTCAAGTGTATCGCTTCCACCTATTACAGAGGAGCACAAGGTGAATGAAGATTCAAAATATTCATTTTTGTCTTTTAACTAAAGCTGGTGAAAGATTCGTGTTCTCGTTCTGACCCATATCAAACTGTCTGCATTTCTCCAGCCATTATTGTCGTGTTTGACTTAAGCAGTGTGGGCTCACTGGCTCATGCCAGGTAAGGCGTTTCCATTACAATGTCATTGTCAGATATTTTCTCTAAAAAGCCGATAAAATGTATGTGTGTGTGTATATGTGTGTGCATCCAGGCAGTGGCTGGAAGATGCTATGAAGGAAAATGACCCGTCCAGTGTCTTATTGTTCCTTGTCGGTACCAAGAAGGACCTCAGTGTGGGTGAATTTTATGAAAAAATTATGAAACACTGAGATTTGACCTGACATTTTTAATGTAATAGTTGATTAATAAGTTGAAAATGTGAGGTGAGATTGTGAGGATTGTTACTGATTCAAAGCCTTTCATTCAAAATGAAAGGCTTTGAATGATAGGAATTTTTTAGTTAATAATAAAAACTCTTGTCGTCATACATGACAGACTTTAACAGTAATAAAAATATTTCTGCTTTCAATTTTAGTCTTCTGTAAAATGCCAGATATTGGGGAGTTTCGTTCTGATCAGTCAGATTGTTGATAATGGGTTGACTGGTTGCTGAAGTTGCCCTGCAGTGACTCATCACTCTCGCTCTGTCTGTGTTTTGCTCTTCAGTCTCCTGACCTGTTGGCTCAGATTGAGCAGGAAGCCATGAGGCTCTCTGAGGAAATCAAAGCAGAGTACTGGGCCGTGTCTGCAAAGTCAGGTGGGAGATAAACAGTCGGTCATCAAGCCTGAATGCTTTTCATTTTCATGTTTTGTTCTCTCAGTAAACTCTGTGACTTTGTTTTTGTCCAGGAGATGGTGTGAAGGACTTCTTCTTCCGTGTGGCTTCTTTGACTTTTGAGGCCAATGTTTTATCTGAGCTGGAGAGGAGCGGGTCGAGGCATGTTGGTGACATAATCAGTGAGTCCACATTATTCAGTGGTTGTTATCTGGTTGTTAGCACAAAAATGAAAGGGGCTGTGCTTTATCTGTTTATGTTTTTTGTGAGTAGGCAAAAACACATTTAAAAAAAATCTTTTTTGCTTAGACACACGGAGTGTTTTCTAATCTTACCTCCATTGACTGTCACTGGAGTGGCTTTCGACCAACTCACTCCACAGTGGGTCAAAGCCAGACCTTCTCCAGTGAGGTCTGGAGACTCTGTAAGTGCCCCTGTAGCACAGTGATCCACCAAATAAATTGCTATTAATCAAACAAATGTGGTATGCCACTGAAAATTGTTAATACGTATAAAAATGATCTTGGCAGCACTAAAACAATCCCACTGTGACCTTTACCCCCTCTCATTAAAAAAGAGAATGATTGTGACATAGTAATCTGGGATCCTCTGTCATGAAATCACTCTCTTCCTTTCTGTGTGCAGAGATTATTGCTTTTCGTATTATCCAACTCGCTGCCGGAGGAGCTTCGGGAATGTTTTGAGCAATGTTCCCTCTAAGCTGCGCGCCTGGGCAATTGCGCACTGCTGGCACGATCTCTGCGCAGAAAAAATCTGCGTTGCGCACAAAAATAAAATCTAACCTGAATTGAAATTAAAGTAAATATGTTAACAATTCTGCTTTGCAGTGTTAGTCAGTAAGTGACTGGCTGCTCCAGTATGGGATTAGAACGATGCCACCTTATCCCATAGTCCAGCCAATAATGCGCACCTAATCAATGTCATTGACAGGCCATGACGTCCTTATGTGTCGACACCGGTGTTTTAGCTAGCAAAGCGGCGTGGCTGATGTGGAGTGAAGCCACGTTAATGACAACGTGTACAAGCATTGGAGATGTGAGCAGGACAGACGGAACAATTGATGGAAAAACTGTGGACTTTATACCAGTTTTTCAATTGTGTTGATAGGCCACGTAAAACCAGAGTAATGATAAAAATAAATGCAATGTTTGGTTTTCTTCCTGAATACTATCGTTGTTTATATTTACTGCAGGAAGAAACGGCTAAATTGGCGTTTTATAAGAAAAAAGGCTCGAAAGCCTGTGAGCAAAACCAAAAACACCCCCACCCTTTCCCATTGGTCGAAAAATGTACCATGTCGACCAAACAAAACATGGCATTTGTTGTTTAGGGAGGGGGAAAGTTTTAGGAGTGATGGTGGTGTTTTGAGATGTGAGAGATTTGAAACGTTTAGCGTAAATCTTGTGTAGTTAGTGTGCAGTGTAGTCAATAGTTTTGTTGTGTGTGTCAGAACAATGAGGCGACTGCTGAATGTTACAGGTGTTACAGGAGTGATACATCTCCTGTTGTCAGGCCTGCAGGTATCAGGCTGTGTTCTCCTTTATCTCATAGTGGACAGAAATTAGTTTTTGGAGTGGCACAAATAATTTGTGTGGCATCAGATTCGATGCAGCAAACCTGATTGTTCTATAAATAGTTTGAAATGTTTATTTTTAAAAAACGCCTTGGCTGCATTTTTAGGTAAACAGCTGCAAAAAACTTTGTTGTTTGCATAACTCAGTTACTTTTTTGAAGAAGTAACTATATAATTAATTGCCCAACACTGGTCATTATATACTGTATTTTGCAGAGAGAGAGTACCAGGACTCTCTCCCAGACCACAGACTCATAGTCATAATACAAGTCAGAGCTTTATTTAAAAAGAAAGAAAGAAAGAAAGCTGTGTTTTCAAAATTGGAGCTCAAGATATTTTTACTTCCAATAGGGACTAAGTTAAGTTATATAGGAAAAAACTCAAATCATTTTGTGTCCTTGATATTTTACACCCCTGAATGCTAACCACTGCTCTGCTATTGATGTTTCCTACTATAACACAAGCAATCTCTGTTTGTTTGTTTATCCACCAACTCCTCCTACACAACCGTGAGCTGAGAAATCAAAAGTCAAGGCACGCGTGTACATCTTGAGCCCCTACAGGTTCTTATATATATTAGATATGTCAGCATATTCTCTAGCAACCACCTAACAACAGGCTAATATGACCCATTTTTAGGTTTTGTGTACTTATGACACTTTATAAAAGCATCTTGATGTTTACAGTATCATTATTACAGATTTTGACACATTAGCTTATGAAGTTTACTGTATTTAGGGATTATATCAAAAGTTTAATGTCAGATAAATAACTGCGTTTTTGGTGAAGTGGTTCCTCACTAAATTTAAGATGTAAATACATTTTACTGCTTATAAACTTACAATCATTCTTATATTGGTCTTCTATATATTTCTATAAACAACACCCACCACCCCTATGTTTTAACTTTTCTTTGTGTAATTAACCATATCAATGTGCCGATAGCATAAACAGACCAAACAGTAATGTAGCATAGGCATGTATTTGTACTGATGAAGGGAGAACTCCTGCGTAACCAATATGCCCCGTGTTCACTGCATCTGCCAGTTCAATGGTGTGACTTCTGTGTGTTAACATAGATATATCTTTGAGGAAATCTAACCGTTAAGATCCATTCACAAATTGATTGTTCTATTGCTTCCAGTGAGAAAAAGAAAGCTCACATTGCTTATACGAATAACATAAAAGTGAAAAAAATTATATGTTTTTATTTATGTTGCTCACAGGGATCACAGACAGCACAGAGACCAGCCATAAACCAAAGAAGAAGCCCAACTGCTGCTGAGATTGGATGAATATCTGCTGGAAATTTTCTGAAGCAAAACGAAATGGGACGTGCAACAGGAAAATTAAGATAAAATGCGGACTGTACGGCTCGCTGTGAATATCATGAGTAGAACCCATGAAAGAAAGGTCACAGTGCTGATAATAACCTGAGAAGGATTCAGCAATAGGTCAAGATGTAAATTCTAAGTGGTTCCTGTAAACAGGCCTGTCAGCTGACTGATCTGAGCAGTGTAATCTCAGGAATGTTTACAGCTGACTGCGGCGACAACAAACAGGCCATTGTGATGTCCCTGATTATGTAAACGTTTATGAGAAGAGGAAGATTATTCTCCACTACAACCACCATTAAATTGCACTTTGTTGATGCCTTTAAAACATCTGTTTGAAGGAGCGTTTTTCTCCTGCTGAAATGTCAGTGATGGGCTGACTGCATTTTTTTAAAAGAAGGGGGGAGTGGGCCTTAGAGGCCTCCTGTCATGTGTCTCTCTGCTGCTAATTTGATGCGTACGCCAACTCCAGTGACCACGGTCACACCCGTTACACATCCCTCTCCTCTGAGGTAACTGTTCTCATGATCTTGAAAATGGAGGGATTGTTTGCAGGAATGGGAAAAAGCAGCAAGCTCAATCTGCTTCCACTGAATTTCGTCAGTAAGCCAGACAGCAAGAACGTGGGTGTGTCTTGGATATATTGTTTTAACTCATATTATACAGATTCTTTAGGTATTGAAATCTTTCCCACACCTCCACAGTGTTGTAAATAATATAAAAGAGGCTAAATTAAATTGTTATCATCACATCTCTAACTATAAACCAAGGTAAAATTACATTCTCTATCCTATTGTTGACTCCAAGGTTGGACGTAAGCTGCCAGTAAGGAAATAAAAACAACAGACAAACGTGCCCATCATATCATCAAGAATAAGACACGAAGCTTCATATGAACACTTTTATTAAAGGGATCACAGGTAGAAAAAGCCATCAGCAGTGCTGGAGACCAGCTACTGCCGACAACCAATCACAGCCTCGCTGAGACACATGTGAGATCTCCACCTGGCAAGAAATGTAAAACCCAGAGCATTTACTCCAAAACCATAATTAAAAAGATTATGCATATTATGGGACCATGTTGCTTCGCACACAGCAAAATTAAACACACCTCTGAATACCAGTGCTGCCTGTTTGTACTCTGGCACAAACAGCAAGAGTAAAACTGAATCCATGAATCAGGAGAGAACCAGGGTGGCCATAAACTGTCATGCAGTTCAGAACATTACACAGAGTTCAGGAATATAAGCAGTGGGAAGTCAGTCTGATAGTATATTCGGTTGATAGTGTTAGAAAAACTTTAGCTCATCCACTGGAATATTGGAAATTTTGAAGGCTGTGATATCAGTGAGAAAAGAGATACTGACTCAGACAGAATTACAGCAGCAGCACGTGGCGATCACATCTTTTAAGATGGCAAACATCATAAACCAGTATTCACTGAACTGCACACATTTAACATACACGAAATTCAGATCTGGGTAAACTTTAAAATCAACATCTGACAGACTAATGAAAGTTTCGTCAACAATCTGCCAGTCAGAGAGCAGGTACTAAAAACAACAGTTTTAAACTGAAGACAACTTCTGCATATTGAAACACAAGAAGTCATCAAAAACACCCTGTTTCAGTGTGGCACTTCATTAATGACCACACAGAACAGGCCACTTAAATTTCAGCAATACATTAGAGGCTATCTACAGGAGCCAATCACACGGTGTCAGCTGATCATATCACAGCGTGTGGTGGAGACAATAATCTGTAACTCATGCCTGACAGAGGCTGGCGTTATAAATCCTGTCACCGGGTGTGTCTGCTCAGTAACATGTGTGTTTGCTTTGACAGATGTGAAGATTGAAGTCTTAAGATTCAAACAAGAAAAAAAAAAGTCTTTATTCGTTCTGACGCATTCATACAAATATTCAATTTCCTCATTGGCTTGGCAAAGAGCTCTTTTGGCAACTGCTCATAAAACTCCGCCAAACATGACCGGGTTGTTGTTCCCCATCTGTCAGACCTATTTCCTCGATCAAACTAAAACCAATGGCAATGTCAGTGTAGGTCCATATCCTATACGTAACTGCTTCCACATACTTCAAGTGTTTTTTTTCTCCTTTATTTATGTCATTCTACTGACATTTTGAATGATGTATACAGTGTTATTCTGACTGTACAAAATACTATGCAGCCATAGCATGAGGTGGCTGGAGGTGAGGTTATGAAACATTTGATGGGTCGACGGGAAGACGAGATATGGGCTGGGTGACACCAGAGTGAAAACTGCTGCTACAATATCATGAGGTGAAGGGGAAAACATGAAGAGTCAAGGTGAAGATGGGGCTGATGGGATGTTGGGGAGAGAAAGGGTAATGGGTTATCTGGATGAAGAAGCAGTACAAAGGGACAAAGTTGGGTGTGTGGGGGGGTACAGCAACGCCCCCCTTTGTCCCCTATCGGTCCATTTCATCCAGCAGGGGTGTGGCGTCTCCAGTGATTGACATGGGTGTGCTCTCGATCATAGGGCTGGGTGACGGTCGTGGCGTCATCCTCTGAGATTTCTTTCTGCCCTCTGCTTCCTTTTCCTTCAGCCACTGCTCGGCCATCTTGCCCCAGTCTACTGCGGTGGAGCTGCTGCTGCTTGGCCTGCAGTAACAGAGGACAGAGGGAGATGGCTTTATTGGACAGCATATGAAAGGAAACCCAACCGAACATTGGGAGGCTGTTTAGATTTAATATAATTCTTACTACAGGTTTAGCACCGCCTTGTGGCAGAAAACTGCAACATGAACATAAATTGTTGCCTGGCAGAGTGACAAACTTCAAAACAGACATTTCACTTTTAAGAGTTGGAGGTGAGGGAAAAATCTGAACTGCAGATGAAGTCTTAGCACAAATAACTAAGACTGAAGGACTGCCATTTTGTACTTACTTTGGCTGCTGTTGTGGCGTCCGTCCTCGGGATGAGGTGGAAGATGACGGTGTGCCCGATGAGTGGCCGTGGTGACTGCTGTGATGGCCGTGATGTGACATGTGGCTTCCATGTGGGTGGGCGTGGGCATGAGAATGTGAAGACTGAGGGGTGGAGCCTGGGTATTGCGGTGTGCCCAAAGCTTGCTGGCTCGGTGTGGTATACGAGTAGCTGGGCGTCATCATGGGTGTCGCCATAGGTTGCTGAGGTGTGGCAAACACCTGCAGGAAATGAAGTACACATCGATTGTGAAATGAGTCGAGGTAAAACCACATTCAGTCGGCTTTAATGCTGCCAAAAAACTTTTGGGTTCCAATTTCCTTCAGTGATGGGGACCCAAAGGTAGACAATGTCACCAATTCATTCTGATCATGTCAACAAACATGCTAATGTTTTGGTCTTGTGGCCATCATCAGAAATAGTCTGATAGATAATATTTAATGTGGCAAAAACCTTAGGAACTCAATTATTAATAATTAGACAAAGGGTCAATCTTATCTTGTAATTCAGGTTTCCAATAGTGTCCGGGACAGGTCACCATATCAGCTAATGATCCGTTTTCCAAACTGCACCATCGCAAGCTGGTATTTACCATTTCCACAGAACCCAATTTATCTCTAGTGGACACCGTGCACAACTCCCAACAGTCTGTTGGGAGTAATCACAATCCCCAAAACATCCTCTTCTCTTTTAAAAACAAGAAAGCTGTCCTCACATGATAGGCAGACGAACTCCCTCCACCTCCTGTGCTGCCACCGTAGCCGTACTGGCTGGAGCCCCACTGTGCAGGTGTGGTGTTGGGGTTCTGACCCTGGCCCGTGACTGCGGCGATGGCATTGAACATCTGAGATGTCATGTTGCGTGGGAGGGCGTTGACAGCTCGTGTCAAGTCTAGTGAGAAAGGAGGGAATACAGCAGAAAACTGTAAAATTAATAGAGCCTAAATTGAAAATCTAGATTAATAAATTGGGGGAAGACTGCGGGGCTCACCTGCAATGTTAATATTGGCTGGGGTAGCGTTCAGGGAGGCAGGCGTCCTTGTTCGGCTGCTGTTACTGGGAGTGATGCCTTGAATGAAGGAGAAAATGTTTAAACAATCACCTATAATGTATTTTAGGAGCTGTGATACATTTTATAATGTATAGTTATAGCACTTTCATACCTGGCACAGGGTCCTGAAAATGGTCCTTAAACCACCGGAAAAGCCCATTCACCGTAGGAAAAATCTGTGAACGGTAGCGGAATCCATCTGGGGTAATAGTCACATACTCAATCCTATGGAGAGGATAAAAAATAAAGCATTTCACATGAAGGACAACCTTCCTGTTAATCAACCAGAAACCTTTCAACAAATAAATAAAGAAATGTATATTTGTACCACATTTATACATCCGACTTCACATTTTCTTTCATGAAAGTAGGAAACAAACATTTCCACATACCGTGGTTTTGCACGTGGTTGGTAGCCCAGGATGAATTTTCCTGGTAGATCTTTGCATGCTGAAATAAAGTAAGGGATGAAGGTGGGCTTCTCCCTCTTTGTCCGCATCAGCAACTCTTCCATTTTCTGACAGATAAAGAACAAGATGAGCAAGATAAGATGTGCAAGCCAAGACAAAACAAACAAACAGCTCACAACTCAATTATAAGAACAATGTCACAAAAAAAAAAAAAAACTCAATATACATACCTCCCTGCTTCCCCTGTTGCACTCCTGGAAGTACTTATGCCCCAGCATATCCCGGGCAAATGACGCCATTGGCTGAATGTACCGAGCAGTAATTTCATCCAGATCTTCAAACTCCTGCAGTGAATCAAAAAAACTCTGTAAGCAACACTTCAACAACCCCCCCCCCCCACAACAAAACCAGCTTACCTCATTGTTGATCCACAGAGTGTGCCCTAAGCTGAAAGCATTCTCTTTGCCTTCTTCTCTCACATCAACATGCTGGTAGATGCCATCAGCCACCTATAAAACATTATATTTAGTCAGAGTGGAGCATTTGGTACCAAAGAAATCATTTAAGTCTTTGTCGCATCTTACTGCCAGGTCTTGCTTAAAATGCTTGGACACAGCATTTTAAGCAAGAAGCATTTTATTACATTTGTTATTTTCAATCAACCAAAGTTTTAACCCTTCTGCAGTGCTCGTTTTCTTACCTTCCAGGTGACTGTGAGGTGGTTTTCTCCCTTGCTACTGGGCCTAATAATTAAGTCACCCTGATCCAGGGTCTCCATCATCTTCTCTGCCTGGTTGAAACTGATGTTGTGGAAGTTGGGGTGGGCAATCACACGCTTTATATATGCTAAAAAGCCAAAGACAAATGGTATAAGAATTAATTATGTTAAAGTCCACACTACTAAGATTTTAAAAAATGCAGTGCTGTCTGCAACTTCAACAACCAAATATGTTTTGTATACTTCATATACTCACGTGTTCGCTGTTGTTTCTTTTTGAACTCCTCCTCCAGCTTTTGGTCTTCAGACTCTGTGTCAAAGTCATAGTAGCTGTCCTTAGGGAGCTTCCATTCGTTGGCCTTGTCCATTAGATCAGAGGTGCGACACGTGAGGTCAACGCTGAATTTCTCAATGTCGATTTTCATGATTCGACAGTGAACTGTCATGCCCACCTAAAGTAGAAGGAGGGAAAATCTGTTAACACACCAACCAAGGCTGAAGGATGAAAAATAGAAAGTAGTAATAATACAGCTCTATCAGGACTGGGCAGTGTAAGTGGACAAACAGGAAAACAATTGCAGGTGAGATCAACCAAATAAAGGGGGCACAACAAAAAATGCCTCACCTTGACCCTCTCCTCAGGGTGTTTGACCACTTTGTCACTGAGAAACTTGGTGGGAATGAAACCCTGAACACCATTATCTAATCTGGACCGTACTCCAATGGCCTGACCTGGACATGACCCACTGTCAAAGTGGTTCCACACCTGAAGCACCACACACAATCAAAATTATAAACATGATCGTCATGGCATATCTGTAACACAAAGTTCACTCAGAAAAAGAAATAAAGAAAACTCGATGTGTGGTACCTCGCTCAGTTCAGGGAAATTGTCCTGCTGGCAGAAGGGGCACTGCCAAAGGCCTGTAGCATCATTACGGATGGCCTGGTCATAGCTCTCTCCCTGAGGGCGCCGGTGAGCGATGCCAGTTACTACACTAGTGATCAGCTTACCTGAAAGAAAGATATGAAAAACCTTAATCATAGGCTAAATTATGAATTACACATTTCTACCATGGCAGACAATTGACCAGCATCACTCCATTGAACAAGTGAATGAGATTCTTATTGATGAACTGAGCTTAATTCGAGGCATCATATCTTAATGTAGTGTATATTACCGATATAAAAGGTCTCTGGAGTCTCCTTGGTGAGCATGTTGAAAACCTCCTCAGTGTTAGGGACTCTGTACGCAACTCGTAAGTCTTTATACCTACAGCTCAGCTCGGCACGGATGTCATACAGAGTAATTCCTTTGTTTCCGTAACCCTGCAGGCACATAACACAGTAGGATGACAGGTTTAAAAATATTGTGACCAGACTCCTGAATCCAATGGTGGTAGAAGATAGAACTCTCCCTTTTCTGAATAAAAAGGTAAAATGGACACATGAAAGACAAATAAAAAGAAATGCTTGTTTTTCTTGTTTTTTCTTTTTTTGGAGTGTTGGTTCCTCTTAGGCGTATTTTTCTTTGGCAGGATAAAGTATGATACTAAATTAGTCAAAGGTACAACACACAGACACTGACCTGTCTCTCAAGCTCTTCAGCAAATGCATCCAAGTCCAGGTCTTTGAGACGTTCGGGATTTTCCAAGATCTCCTCCAGAGCTCCGGCTGGATTGGCATCTTCTGCCGACTCATCATACTCGAGCGCGTCTACAGCCATCTTGCGAGCCCACTCGTATGTCTCAGGGTGGACACGAGAGCCATCCAGGACCTCAATGTAGGAGTCCGTACTGCCAGGAGAGTTTGAGAGAATGAAAAACCGAGGCTGATTTAAAATAATTCACAGAAGCATAATAGACTCAAACATGTGCACATCCAGCCCTTTGAGAAATATCGAAATGGTCTGAAAATTTCAAGACGAAGTTCCAACCTGTCCCCAAGCGAAGCCGTGTCAATTTTGATGAAACCAGCACAGTTGATAAAAACCTTGGGTCCCATGTGACACATTGTGACGAGCTGTGTTCTGTTTTCCAAACGAGTATTGTTCTGCTTCAGAATCTACACAAAATAAAATCACAGTGGTTAATAATGTTATCAATGATATCTTGCACATACGCTTTACATATCAGCAGCAGAAATGTATACCTTGAGAAGATGTGAACCCTTCCTTGGTCCCAAACCACACACATACTGAACCAGGCTCTGAGTATGAGGGTGTGCGATGGCTCTGTTCACATCTACTCCAACCTCATTAACACGGTTGATGAACTCACAGTAAAGAGCATCGAGCAAATCCTCCTTCACCACATGTTCCTAAGACGGACAAGAGAGGACAAACTACTTTTTACATATGCACTGTATGTAGCTGCTGAAAAAAAACAGCAAGTCATGCTATGATTGAAGCTGGCCTACGATTGATGAATTCACATTGACTAATACACGATTACAAGACAGAGATCGAGAAGTGTCTGTCCTGCTTACCCTGTACATTTCTAAGTTTAAAAATTCTTTTTACTAATACTGACATTACAGTGGGACACTGTAAAAACAATTTCACTACAATGGAAAAGGCTTGCATATGAGTTGAGTGTAGAGTTGATAATGAAACTGACATAAATCTAATTTATTATAATTTGTTCCTACAAATGATGCGTTTGACTAGGCTGAAAACTTGACTGAGAGGTTTCTACAGTTTAACTTTGCAGGACAAGCTTTGATTGCAGTAACAGGTGTATATGATGCTACAGAAGAAAACAAAGTAGACAAACATAGCAGTAAAAATCTCATGTTACCCACAAGAGAAAATGAGTAATGGTATCTTTGTAGTGAAGCAGCAGCTGGTATAAAACACCTTGTGATACCTAAAAATGCTAAGACAATACTGAGCAAAAAATACAGGGAATATAAAAAAAATTGATTTCAAAAAGCTCTCTTTGAAAGTACATATTAAAATAAATGGCTTAAGTTTTGCATCCAAAAATGACAACGTTCACAAGGTTAATCTGCCCCTCTCCAGACACACATCCATGCAATACTCAAAGTCCCAGACTTTTACGAGCATGTCTGGAGTCAAAGCAGCAACTGCTGTTGTTATGCATTTCACCAGCAACCCTGTGAAACTCAAAAATCCCCTCTTTCTAACATTACAGTAAAAGCATTTTGAATTTGGATGATTATTTTTGATTTACCCTGTATATACTAGCCAATCAAAAATCAATGTCTTCATTCACTCACCTGCAGTGGGTGTAGTTTGAGGCAGAGAATATCCTCATCAGTGCTGCAGACCTGAGCATACTCCACCAGCGGATCCTGGATCTTCCTGGCTATTGAAACAGCCTGTCGCAGCAACGGAGGATAATCCCTAAAATCAGCCTGCAGACAGAAAGCAACAGGATCACAAGAAATAATGAGAGCTAACACAGGGTTGAAATTGAACACGCTTGCCGGTTGACTAACAAACAATTAAACCACAGACATCTTTGTGTAATTCTATTGTAGGTGACATAACAAATATGTACCTCAGACTTCTTGCTGTTCATGTACAGCGTGGCCAGTTCATTGTCAACAAGTTCCACTCCTACAGCAGGCAGAGAGGACTCCTGCTCAAGCTCGCCGATAGTTCTCTTGATGTCCTCCATTATCATTTGGGCATCTCTGTAAACACGTTCACGTTTTTAACATTTCTGCTCTACATTGTGAATGCTGTTAAAAATGTGTACAAGCATACATTTAGAAAAAACAGGAGGTAATCTGGTGATTTACCGGTTTTCTCCAGCAACAGCTACTACATGAGGTTTCTTGCCTGACAGAAACCTCTTGAGATTTTCAATGTCACTGGCCTGATTAGACACAATTTAAACAAAGACTTTTAAGTGACTTGTTTTCAACAAAAAACCATTACAGAGGTGCTACAGCTGTGTTTTCTGCTTCTACCTTCTTCTCTCTCTCATCCTCCCTGAAGGCGTTCCTTCTCTTCATGAAGTAGGGTAGACGAAGAAAATCCATCACCTCTCCTTCCCCGTTGATCAGAGCACAGAATACTGGAGTATCTCTGCCAGAGTAAAGTTTATATACACGAAAATCTTACTACTTTTTTTCGTATATGCTATACTTAAATGTCTGTGCTTTGCTGAACGCACCAACAACTCAAGCTACTGATATATACACACCTGCTGGGCGCATAGGCTACACCAAGCACTCTGATGCCTTTTCCCTGATTCTCATCCATCAGATCATCATCTTCCTCAACCTGCTGATCTGGCCTGTACGGAGCCACTTTCAGCCAGTTATACAGTCGGCGACAGCAGGACTTCAATGATAAATGGGGGGGGGGATAAATCATAATTAGTTTTCAGATTAAAAACACAAATAGATTTTATATCTACGACATCACAAACGTAGTCCAGCTTCTCAGACTGTGCGCTTTTGATTGTCTGTGCAAGACTGATAGGGAATAATAGCACAAATGGAAGAACAGATCACATCAATGTGATAGAAAATTACCCTGATAATGCTCTCTTTGGCCTCAGCAATCAGTTTGCTCTTAAGCTCCTTGGCCATCTGAGGGTAGAGGAACTGATTGAGAGCTCTTTCTATGGCTAAAGTTCGCTGCCTGTTCCACTCCTGCACCTGGTGACTGAACTCGTCCCTGTAGTAGAACTGTTTGATCTCGTCAAAGTACGTCTGGTCCCCTGCATACCTGTGGAGAAGCACAGAAAAAATGTAAAAAACGTGGACAAAGGGCAGAGTGTCTTAATATTTCCATTAATAATTCAAAAGCCTAATTTTTTCCTGACAAGGATGAGAGAAAAAAAAAAGAAAAAAAAAAAAGAACACGCTAAAGCCAGAAACTCAAGAAATTAGACTCAACGGGTTTATCCTACTTTACTACTCTTTTATTGCGACATCCAAGCAAGGTTTCTATGCAGGCGCTAAAAATGGGACAACCGTTAGTCACATCAGAGCCTGTGTTTGGTGTCCAAAGGCCAAGGAATGTTCATTAATTACAAAACTGATAGGATTCATAAGAACTCAGGATGTTTTATGATGATGCTTTTTTATGATTCTCCTCAAATGGTGAAATAAATCTAAACATTAATGAGCTTAAAAGATTAGCTTAAAAGATTAGCTTAATCATCAAGTCTAAAACAAAAAACACATATACAGTTACTCTTTCTTAAAGAACTATTTGACACCATTGATAAAATTAGTTAAGAAACAAACAGTATTTTAAATGCAAAGGTGCCAGAGACTTTTGACCACGCTATACTGCACACATGTTTAATTTTCCCAGTGGGATTAATGTTAATAGGGGTTCTGCCTTGTGCTTAGTGGTTGAACTTTACACCAAACAGTTGTCATTAAACTACAAATATTTCAAAAAAATTTGCGTTTAAAGCACATTCCTATGTGTTTCAGCTTCTGCAGCTAAGCACACCAGAATACTCTAAAGATTTTGATTAATATGCACTAAAAATGTCACTCTATTTACCCTTTAACTCCTATAAGGTCTATGCAGATATCAATGGTAAGTAGCCCCTCATCCTCTGCAAGGCACATCTTCAAGAACTGATCCCCATTCAGTTCTTTTACAGGCTTGTTCTTAAGATACTTGAAAGAGTAGGCAAAGTGAGCTTCGTCTACCTCCTACAGGGAGAAAGAAAGGCAGGGTTAGAAAGAGCATGGTTTATATGTCTTTTTATTTTTTTTTTTAAACCCAATTCTTATGAATAGCTGTGTACCTTTTTGCCCTTTTTTGTAGGTTTGATGTTAACCTTGGCTCTCTCCTGAAACGTCTGTCGGAGAACATGTCTGACCAGAGGTTCCCGAGCAATCTGCATGGCTACCATATACCTAGTTCCCTCCAGCACTGCCTCTGGAGTAGAGAACTGACTGCAAACGTAATCTTTGGCCAGCTCTACGGGCTCAGCAGGGAACTGCTCTGTCTCGTGACGTTGGTAACTGTCCCTCAGATTTTCTCCAAATTGCTCTGGAGTTAAACCAAACTTTTTAGCCAAGCCATCTGCAGAGAGAAAGAAAGCAGAAAAGAGTTAGTAATCCTCCTTAACCACTGAGATTACATTTTCCAAAGCAGAAAGGGAGACTAACCAAGTCCCACGCTCTGGCAGATGCTGTACATATCCCTACGGGATGCCAACTTGAGATCAGGTCCTTTCTGCTCTTCTTCTTCTTCTACCTCTAATTCCTCCTCATCTCCTAAAGAAAGAGCCATGGTGATTTATTTATTTATTTATTTTAAATATATAGCTATCCATTATTTAGTGAACCACGTTTTTCTTACCATCCTCTGACACTTCTTTGATCTTCTTGAGCCTCTTCTTGTTGGCTTTGGCAGCGTTCTGCATCTTGGGGATGTCTCGTCCGTAGTAGAGCAAAAAGTGATTGTAGACATCACCCAGCTCTTCAAGAGTCTGTACATCCTTCAGCCTTGAATAAGGACAAAGCAGAATTTCAGAGGAGAAATTAAATAAACGATTACTTTTCTAGCCTACGTTTCACCAGTAGGCTCAGTAGTGCTATAAAGTCATACCTCTCCATGTCAGTAGTGTCCAGAGGACGAATACCATCGGCCAAAGGTTTGTCAGGGTCAGCAGAGATCTGCTCAAACTGATAAGATTGCATCTTCTGAAACAGACGGGTCAGGTTCTGCTTCCGGGTCTTTAGCTGAGTCCACTGGTGAGTGGAAGAGGAAAATATTAAAATAGAAACCAGAAAACTTTGCTGTTTTTTTAATGCAGCTACTGGAAGCAATGTAAACGATTACTGATGGATTAGTCTGTATCCATTTCTTATTTGACAACGCAATTATACCTTCTCATCCCACTGCCACACTTTCCACAGGTCATTGATGTTGAGCTCTGGTTCAACATATTCTTTTCTGTAGAAAGCTATAAAAGGAACCTGGGGAAAAAGATACAAGAACTCTTTACAGTGTCCCATATTTTACTCATATTAAAATAACACTGACAAGCTCGTATCTTGAAAGGAATATGCAGCTCACTCTACCTCAAATTGTTGATTCCTCATGAAGTTAAGGGCCTCTTTGATCTTGGCAATTGTGCTGGGACCTTTTCTGCTGAAGTTTGTGGTTGTGCCCCTGTCTAGGTAATCTGTGCTCTCCTGTTAAAGGCATAAAAAATATTTCAGTGAGGCTTCAGGAAATTATGCATCTCTCATCTGAGTTCCTGTATAAAATATCTGCTGTTTTTTCCTCGTCTCTTAAGGACATGACTTTCAAACATTGTTAATCTGCTATAGACAGTTCTTCTGTCCTTCAGAACAAAAGGAACAAATGCCACAGCATGCTAAAATTTGCCAGATTTTCAGCAATAAACTCTTTGGAAATCACCTTGGTGCAAAGATACTATTTTATGGCTGTTACATTGTGAGATTCAGCAAGAGAAATGAGAAAATATTATGTGTGTGCAACAGTCTTCTAGTAACAAAATGCTAGAAAATACTATTTAAAATTGGCTCTTTGCCAAGTTGTCTATTGTGTGTAGAATACCGGTTCACTCCTTGAGTTACGAGCCTTTTTATGCTTGAATGATTCATAGTTCAGTGTTAATTAGCTTAAACAAAAAAAACCATTCCTGAAACTGCTAAGGTACAAGGGCTGGACTGAAAATGAGTGAAAAAGTAGTCAATGCCCAAAGAAAGGCTTTGAAAGATCTTCAGGAAACCTGGAGAACTATTGCACAAGACAAATCTAAAGAAATGAGGAGTGGCTCAAGACTTTTGCACAGTACTGTATGTATGCCATGGGGCATGAAGCCTCTACCTGCATGGAGATTGTAAGAGTGGAAAACCCATGTCTGAAGATCCATTCTGCTTCCTCTTCCAGCTCATCATCCTCAGCAGGTTTGACAGGAATAGCTCGCAGCTACAAGCCAAAAAACGAACAGTCATGAAAGCAGCCTCAGGTTCGCAGAGAATAAGTACGTTTACAATAAATTAACCCCAAAACACACACCTGGAACCGCTCAGGCATGTCTGTGGAGCGGATCTCATTGTCCTGGTCAGTCATGTGACTACTTTCGAGCTCACTTGGCTCGTAGATCTCAAAAATGCTTTTCCTCCCCAGCCTCCTCTTAGTTTGCTTCTTGGGTCGGTCCCAGCCCTCTTCATCTTGATCCTCTTCCTCCTCCTCACCCTGGTCATATGCATCAGCATCAAAGTCAGCAAAGTCAAAGTCGCCACCGAAAATCTCCTGAGCTTCCTGGAGCGCACTGTGGAGACACAGAGAGAGAGCTTGTGACTTTTTATTTTGTGTTTAGTTTGATTAAATATTTCACACTAATTGACACTTGAGACAAAATAACTGAATGCAGAGGAAATAATAGAAAAGTGCATTACCCTGCACTGAATTATATATATATATATTTTTTTTTATTAAGGAATAAATCACCCAAAGATCTTCAGCATAAACTCCAACACTCACGCATCAGTGTATCCTGAGAACTTCTTGCCCCTCTTTTTGGTGATGGGCTGGCCATCATCATCCACAATGAAGTCATCGATATCTGTGGAAGTATAACACAAACTTACAACCCCACAGCCCAATCCAATAGAACATCTCAAATAAAATGTGTTACTTTCTCATTATTTTTTAAGACTCCAACCTGATTCTTCATCCTCTCCTTCTTCATCATCATCAGGCTGTTGCATAGGTTCATCAACAGCCTCGCCTTCCTCCAGCTCCCCTTCACCATCCGGATAAAATATCTCATCTGCGATCAAGTCCTTCTCGTCATCATCTTCATCATCATCCAGTGTTTTTACACGGTCATATTTCTTCTTCTGTGATTCAAGACAAGTCAGTTCAGGTGGATTCAACTCTTTCAAGTGTACAAAAGTGACTTGAAATTGTTAGATGTAAGGGTAAAAATAAAAATGTAGACAGGAACTTACCCTCCTTTTTACTTTGACACCCAAGTTTTCCTCAATTAGGTCAAGGTCGTCATCATCCAGGTAGTCATCGTAGCCTGCAAAGGTGAAAAGTCTTAAACAGAGGAAACAACTTCAAGCTACCACTGCCAAAGCATGTCTATTCCAGTGTTTAAATACAAGACTGGAAATATTTTTTAATGTAGATATAAAGATTTACTTGACACATTAACACCAGAGTCACTGAAAATCCCATTTTGTCACTTCCTATAAGAACGGCAAATAACTCATCTGTGTTAGACCTTTACTTTCTTTAAAAATGGACAACATGAATGTTAACTGTAAAGCACACCAGCAGAGAACTAGCATTGCATCAAACATCACCCGCCTGGGTAAACACTGGGATGCATCTGGATCCACAACATATGGAGCTAAATGTGAAAGATGCAACATGTGGCCAACAGATGCCTGGAATCTGTTTAAGGTCAGCTCTCATTATTTAGAAACATATTTTCCCCCGACTTTAAATTCTACTGTGCAAAAAGAAAGGCCATAACACTGAAAACTGCAACTACAGTATAAGAAAACAGTCATAAATTTCAATCTATTGCCTCATTAACTATATCTGTATTATATTAGAAATACACTACTGGCTGAGGTACCTGTAAAAATGACAATATGAGGCTATTTTTCAGTTAAGATGTGACAGAATATACTTTGTTTATCCTATATTTGTAAATAAAATGTACTTTTCTGCCAGAGCAGGCATCAGAATTTCAGAGATTTAATATTATGCTAAGAACATAATTGAAAATGTTATATCTTAAAATCTATCAGTGCTCCTTGCTCAACCACCTAAGTAAAAGGTACCGCTTTTCCAAAATTACTAACCTCATTTAACATTTTTCTACTACTTAATTTTTGCAGTAACCTTTAATATATTGGCATATTTAATGTCAACTTCTCAAGGAACCGAGCCAAATGATCACAATTAATCAAGCAATGTGTTTATACAGACTACATTTGGTCTCAGAAAGAAAGAAAGAAATACAAAAAAGCATTTATAATAGGGCAGGAGTGTCAACTCATTACCGTAGAAAAGATATAGTCAAATGTTTTCACTTTTGAGGCCTTACTGCACCTATAACTCAAATCAGCATATCATTTGTTCTGATGTTGGTACTCTAGATTAACCTGCTAATGAAGCCATAATATTGGGTAAATTTGTGTATTTGTGATAAGAAAAACAAACTTTAAAACTCTGTTGTGGGCAAAGTCACTAAACCTTTGATTCTTTACTTTCCTTCTCATTTCTTCGTATTCTGCTAAAAAACCACTGGCCTGAACGTTAAGACTCCACTAAACATACCATGTGGTGGCTGGCAAACAACACCATAGGATAAAAACGACATCACACCTGCTGTTGCAAGTAACCATTTCTAATGGTCATGCACCCCTCGATTTTTGTAACCTGATGCATAGTGCTGCCGCTGCTGGGTTGGGGACACATTGTCACACCCGATCGTGTCAGGTTTGCAATTTTTTAATGATGTATCAATACAGAAGCTGAGAGTTGTTGCAACTGCTTAAAAAGACAGATTTTCTGGAAAAAAAGGCACTGCCTTTAATTCTCCTTTACATGGTCTCCTGAATAATAGGTGTTGCCTGAGTGGCACCACCTATTATTCAGGAGAATACTGCAGCTGCTACCAGCGCTATAATGGCGAACATAGATGGATAAATGGATTTGATTGTGTCATGACCTTCTCAGCAGAGTGCAGAGTGACCAAAGCGGTGGGTATACTGTGGCCTTATGGTTCTCCTTCAATGCATTACTTATAGGATTCAAAATTGCTGCTTAGTAGGGTACCAACATGGCTGCAAGACTCAAGTAACCAAGATCATCTTCCACTCACTAATATGGTGTGATATGGCATAATAATGGGGCATGAGTGTTTTCACTCTATTGACTGGACAGGTTAAATAGATATATGTAATTAATCACACAGGTTTAACAATTTTTTAAAAACACCAGGTGAACTTACTGCGCTTTTTTTTATGTCGACGCCTCACTTCCTCCTCTGAATCACTCCCTCCGCCACTTCCACTTTTTTCTGCTTCTTCCTCCTCTTCTACCTCGTCTCCATCATCAATGAAGCCACGTAAATTCCCTTTCTCATCCTGGTCTTCTGGGTTATCGTCTTCTTCCTCTTCATCTGCTGAGAAATGACAGATGAGGGGTCCACATGCCATACAACTTCAACACACATTCCCAAATTTAAAGAAATCAGATCTTACCATCTTCTTCCAAAAATCTCTGGTTCTTCTTAGGTTTTAAGTCCTTCTCCTCAAACTCCTCCTCTGACTCTTCTGCCTCACTTTCAATAAAGTCCGACATGACTGCTATTCCTGAGAAAGGGGTTAAAATGCTATTAATAAAAATGTCATCAATCAGGCAATATTGGGTTCTCCCAAAATTCTCCTGACAAAAGCCAAATACACACAAATCTTACACTATACTGGATAACATTGTGCTAGAATAAGAAATGTAATCCTTAATATAAAGATTGCTTAATGTCCCTTTAAACTATTACTTTTTTTTACATATCTCAATGTATTACCAAAGATGTTATAATGTCTCCTGTATTACATATAGATTATTTATCAGGTTATTACTGATTATTAATGACTTTGTGATTAACATGATAACAATTTGATAGTAATGTATAATAGTGCTGTGCAGGAATTTTGATTCTTTACTTTCCTTCTCATTTCTTCGTATTCTGCTAAAAAAAGTGTTGCATTCTACTGAGACAATTTTTGATGATGCTTTGGCATCCTGATCCATCCTGATGCATTTCTCATATCCTGTGTCAGGTGTTTGATGATTTTTCTTCTTATTTCTTGAGGACATGTCTTCCAGATATTGTTTATCTGCTGTAGATAGTTTCCCTCAACTATTTATGAATATACTACACACCATGCTGAGCTATGTAAAGTATAAAGAAATGAGGGTTTAGCTTCAGACTTTCACAATAAAGCGAAAGATTACATCTGAAAACGATGCCTTTTGAGAGCTTCATAAAACATATGTGTGTAATGTTGAGAAACAACGCCTAACGTTAACAGCAACAAAAGGGTATATTTTAGTCAGCCCTTTGAATGATTTTATTCTCTAGCACTGTTATAATGCCAGAAAGACTTAACAAGCGGGCTTTAACAATGACTTCACCTAGTCATGTCGCAATGCGTACACACACACATACAAAACACTGGCCGTGATTACCGTACAAACAGCATACTTGCTTTAAATATAACGGTAGTGTGAGTTATCCGGGTGAAATCTTCAAGTTAAAGGAGTAAAAGGTTGTTGTATAAACATTTTTTGTTAATAAAGGTAGCTAAAGCTAACGTCTTCGCTAGCAACGAACGAGGCTAAACGACAATTAGCAATGCTAATAAACTAGAAAGGAACGTTGCTGCTAGTACAACGGTGGCACGTTGTTGCTTTGAAACGTGTTGGCAATAAAAGGCTGCTGTACCTAAAGTAAATTCACCATTACATAAATTAACCAAGGCCTCCAAACCAACTTCGCAGTTTAACGTTGGCTAGTTAACGCTTTAGCATGTCGATATGTTAGCCTGGCATTAGCTGGGAAGACAACAACAGCCATCAGCATTAGTACTAACTACTTGAAAAAGAAGACATCGCAGTGAAGACATAGCATATAATCACGCTAAAAGAAACTTACTTACACGTATCAGTGGGGTAGCGTACTCCGAATATATTAACGGTAACAACTGACTTGTATTGTATGTTATATTTCGAAGCTTGCACTTGTAAAAATGGCCGAGAACGAGCGGCGTGATGACAATTCCGGGATGCGGTAAGTGAACTTCCAACCTCTTCCGTTGCAAGGTTTTTATTTTTTTATTTTTCTTTATTAGTAATATAAACATACAAACAAAATGCACCATATATTACAGATTCAGAGAATAGACATTTCTTACATATTAGCAACTTTCATACATAGTGAAAATAAAATATAAAGATGGGGTCACATAATTTAACAAATTATTAACTCACTAAATCAAAATCTTCCATAAAGGAAACAAAAAAAGCAGCCTTTTTCTTTTTAACTAAAGTCAAAGATTTAACCAACAGGTTTAAGTCGTTTTTCCAGTAAGCTAGTGTTGGTTTAGTCTTAAATTCCGTTGCAAGGTAGTGATGTGACGTTCTTCGAGGCTTCGAAGCGTGATGTCACGGGGGCGGGCGTGGAAAGGATTTTGGCCGGGGCTTCATTTATGGGAGGAGCTGAAAATGATGACGTCCGAAGCCTCGCTGCCCGGCTGTACCACGTGACTGGTTCATGAAGTGGTTCGAACTTTGCTGCGAGCTATGACAGAGATAAACCCCTCAGACTTCATTCAAAAATGTGGGTGTTTGATGGAGAGTTGCGGTTAGTGAGAGTTTGGAGATAGTTTGGAGGTTTATGAGAGTGAGGAGAGAAAGTCAGGAGAGAATGGAGCCAGCTAAGAAGAGGAGGATGTCCTCCCTTGTGTGGGAACATTTTGATTTTATTTCTCCCAACAAGGTATGTAAATTTCTACATAAGATGTATTTTCATAATACTGATGGTGCAATACAATTTATGTTAAGCGGCTTTACTTTTGTACAAGGTGAAGTGTTTGCTATGTGCCAGGGAGCTGGGATATAACAACAACACCTTATCCATGCTTAGGCACTACAGAGCTTTGCATGAGAATAAGGGGAACACCGATTGTGGAGCAAGACCAGGTGAGCCATCAAATGCAATGATAATATAGCATGCAGTAATGTTACTAAATAATATAACAATATTATACAGCTGTTATAAGTTACGTGTGTGATATTTATATTTGTGCTTTGTCTTTATTGTCTTTCCTCAGGAGAACAATCTCAAATAGATGAAGACCTGGTTAGCATGGTGATTGAGGACTCCCAGCCATTTAGCATTGTGGAGGACAAAGGATTTAAAAGACTTGTTAAATCATTAAATCCTAGCTATGTTCTCCCCAGTAAAAAGGTCATAAAAGCAGTGAAAATGTTGTTTTTACAGAATAAAATGTGAACAGGCAGGACTGAGGCTCAAAGCCTCAGTGTGTAGCTGTCCATACCTCAACGTTACAAAAGCACAACTACTGTCCACACCCCCAACCACACCTCACCTCACAGTAAATGATCATTTCCATTTTAAGCATTTCCAAATAATCATTTTCCATACTGCCAGTATAAATATACACAGTATACTGCCATCACTACAATATACATGTTTTACACACTCCTTTTGTTGTTGACATTTACAGGCTGTGTGCAAAAGGCCACACTCTTCTAATATTTTTACGTCCAGTAGATGTCCTACTAGAGCAAATGAAGCTTCAAGAAGCTTTGCGCTCATGAAGCTTCATCTGCCCATCACTACCCTGCGGTTTACCTCGATTCTATACACACATAAACAACTAAAATAACACCATGCCATATGACAACCTTTACTATCGTTAAGGTATTTTTTCTAGTATAAATATCATTTAAGATGCCAAACAGTACGCTTAAATAACCCCAAAACCAAATAAGACCGCGCAGATGCCGTTCCGAGCCGCTAGAGGCGCTGTCTCCTGAGCTCAACACTGGCTTACTGTACGTTTTTAATGACGTAGCGAAAAATAAGGCAAATCTCTGAGAAGGATCAGCGGCTGGATGTGCTTGGCTTTTAAACAAAGAAGGAATGGGTAAATTAAACTGTGAAAGTATGCCACGCTTTGTACAGGCCATTTTGTTGTTGTTTTCCTGTGTGTTTGGACTCTCCCTTGGCACGGAACTGAGCTTTGTGACCTGCGGATCAGTCATTAAACTGTTGAATTTAAAGCACAACGTGAGACTACACTCGCACGACGTACGCTACGGGTCCGGTAAGTTTGCTGTCAAAACTAATCTTTTCATTCATAAACACTCGTATTTTTCAGCTAACAATAACTACAGTTATTTTCCTTCGTAACTAAGTTTGCATTGTTGGATAAAAATACAATTCTGACTTTTTAATTTTCATCCATTAACTGTGTCAGTGTGAGTTTGTCATAATGTTCAACTTAACTCCATCATGTTTGCAGTTAAATGTGACACGTTTTAGGAGGTCAGCTCAGTTTCTAAGGTTTTCCTGGTGAGACAAATAAAAACGTTTATGTGCACAACCACAGTTAGAACACAGTTACGACTGTTTCTGTTTCTTTGTGGTCTTTTATTGACAGACAGAAGAAGCGAAGGTGAAATCACATCTCCAACACAAAATGCAGCCCCTCTAAGTCAGCAGCATAAACTGTGTTTACACTGGTTCTTTCCATCTGTACTAGCTGACAGAGCAAGAACCCAGGGTGGTGTTAAATATGTGCAAGTACTAGTCAGCGATAGAGGTTTAGAGGTATCAGTTATAACAACCCCATAAACTCTGAGTACAGATGCAAATGACACCTGTACACAGTAAAATACTATCATGATATGTTTCCAAGAAGATGGATGGTATCATGATACAACAATAATCAATAAGCTGGTGCCCTTGCAATGAGAATCAGCGCCTCTGAGTCTGAGGCCTTGATCCTCAGCTGGTAAAGGTTGGAAGGCACACTCCTGGTCAGGAAGTGGAGATGTTCAAGTATCTTGGGGTCTTGTTTATGAGTGATGGGGGGAGATTGCTGGAGATTGGCGCCCATGGTACCAGTCCATTGTAATGAAGTGAGAGCTGAGTGTAAAAGCGAACCTGTTGATTTACCAGTGAATCTTCACCCCTACCCTCACCAGCAGCCATGAGCTCTGGGTAGGGGTCGTCACAGCAGATCATCTGCCACCATGTCACTCTTTTTTCCTCTGTAAGAAACTCTGCATGTCCTCAGCCTTGTCTCTCTAACTTTGTCTCTAAACTGCATGACCTCACGTCTCCCTCTAATATATAAATTTCTAATCCTGTCCATTCTGGTCACTCCCAACAAAAATCAAAGCATCTTCTACTCTGCCACCTCTAGCTCAGCACCCTGTGTTTTTGTCAGTGTTACTGTCTTCAAACCATACATCACACCAGGTCTCACTGCCATCTTGTAAACCTTTCCTTCTCACACCTTCTGTCACAAATCACCCCTGATATTCGTGACGTTTCATTCCTTTTGTCTCCAGTGAATACCTCCACCTCTACTGTTTCCTATTAGAGTACCTGCATGTTTTAATCCTAATATCAGCATTTGGCACTGGTGTATGCAATAATGCGTCACAAAAGGAAATAACAAGAAATGTTACTGTATACTCAGAAAACTCTAGGTATAACATTGTTTCACCGCACTGACTTGTAGTTGCACACCAGCATATGGAATTGTTGTTTGCCAAAAACCGACCAATAAAGCAAACCTAACCTTCATCACATACACAAAGTTCATAAGTTATGCAGAGGACTGGTTTTAAATAACAATCTTCTATTCTAGATGAAATTTTATTTTTTTATTTGAACTGTCTCTAATATCTTTAACAATCCTCTGCTGACTGTGTCTCTGAGGCAGGTAGTGGACAGCAGTCTGTAACAGGGGTTTCTGCAGTGGAAGACAGCAACAGCTATTGGAGTGTTCGCGGGACCAGTGATGCCTTGTGCCACAGAGGTACCCCAGTTAAGTGTGGGCAGACGATTCGCCTCACTCATGTCAACACAGGACGTAACCTGCATAGCCACTACTTCGCCTCCCCGCTGTCATCTAACCAGGTGGGTGGTGGGAGAAGTACAAGGGAAAAGCTGAGAGCTTTGGGGCTATGTGTGGGATTTACCAGGTTTCTCTTTGCAAAAATTGGGGAAGGATGTCAGTGTGTAGAAGATGGACTTTATTTTTTTTTCTTCTTAATCAAAAAAGCTGATAATAAATTTAGGAATTAGGAAGATTAGGAAAAACACTGAAGCGATAAACAGCTGTAACATTTATTAATGTGTAGTCTTGTGTAAACACACACACACAGACACACAAAAACAGGGTGCCTGCCTTTCACTTTTATTCAAAACTAAACCAACATTTTTGCAGTGAACCTGAGTTGACAGCAGCTTTTATACTTAACAAACTCTCTGGGAAAACAGCCTCGGGTCAGCGTAAAACTCCCAAATCCTGAGAAAGTGTGAGAACACTGTCTGACCAAAGTGTCAGAGGGTTGGAAGACGCGTACCTTAGGAAAACAGAAATTTTAGTTTATATTTCTTTACATTTAATATCTGAGATATTAAAATATAATAAAAAGAAGTGCAATTACAACTGTACATCATATTTTTTCTACATGATAAAGAAATGCTGAAATTGTAATAATTGGGTGTAACAATATATAACCTCCACACACTGTCCAGCTTATCATCATTTTTTATTGACTTACAACATTTCAGTCTGTGTGACCTTCGTCATGTACAAAAAAAAACAGTTTCCTGGCTAGACATCTCACACTGCATACTATCAATCAGGTAATGAATGAGTCCACTCGAAACTTCAACACAATCTTCAAAAAGCCAAATAACATTTAACATCACCACCTGATCCGAAAACTGGACCATCCATGTCTCCTGTTCTGAAATTGTCACTTAAATTCATAAATTACCTCAATTATAAAACCAGTTTACAACAAATATTCATACTTTGGACAAATCAGTGATGTATATTTTTAAAAAAATACCAACATCCCAATATTAACAAATCACATCTCAAAACAAATCTAATTTTAAAAAAAATTATGAAGAAACTACATTGAGTACAAGTTCTGCAAATTCTTTTCTCTTCAATAATAAATCCCCAGGGTGGT